CGACACATACAAGATAATAGAATGTATGAGTAAGTATACCTAATGTGCTTCTATATACTATATAATGTTTGCAATATCAGATGTGATTATGAAGCCTGATATTTATTCTCAATGTTCACAAAGCTCTAGACCCCAAAAGACATGCCTGGCAAAGATTTATGGAGGCAGCTCTGTTTTTAACAAAGATCTGGTTTTACATTCTTAATTTTATCTGACGAGCCAAATTTGGTCAATCAGGATATTTATTTTATTTATAAAACATTTTACCAGGAAAGATTCTTTTGTCCTGGGTCCACAAATCATTGCATTGTTACATTAGGGTACAATAAAATACAAAACCAATATTAATACACAATAAATACAAATTTAAACATGAAACAGGTAGGAAATATATAATCAACCATGACACGTGCATTCTGTTTTGAGGTATGTAGAGAGGGATCTCTTAAAGGACTTTAGGATTGGGGAAGAATTTAAAGTGTGCGGGAGGTCGTTCCATAATTGCAGTGCTCTGTAGGAAAAGGATGATCGGGCCACTTTCTTTTTGTATTGAGGTAGACTAAATAAAGTGCTTGTACTGGATCAGAGGTTATAGGAGGTGGGAACAGCCGAGGAGAGCATTCTTCCCAGAAAAGCTCTTAAACACAAGGCTGGGAAGATGAAGGATATACTGTTTTATGCTGTCTATATTGTGAGCTCTAGAGATCTACATTTATCTCATCTTGAGGAGTTCTTGAGTTCTACATTCTGGGGCCATTGGCATATGTGCCGGCCCTACATTCTGTCATAAACCAATGGCAGCAGAAACCTGGGAGGTTCAGGAGACAAACATTTTTTCTCTTTTGTCAAGACACAGTTTAGATAGAAGCAAAGTTTGAGGATGCTTAAATGGAAAAATGTTTTTACATTAGTAAGAGGATTTACCCATATCTCCCAAAATTTATGGTTATATGGTTATATTGTTATGTTTAAAATGCTACAGGCACTTGCCTGACGTGAACACAGTTATATGGCTATGTTGTCAACCTTGAAAAGTTATTAGGATATTATCGCACCCTTGATGTGTACTGTTACTATGGCATGTAATAAGATGACATGGATCATGCAACCGCGACTTTTACCCTGCGCAATGAAAGGGGCTTAGGGGTAGGGGCTCTTCCTGAACACCTACACGTCCACATACACTCGGCTGGTGCCTAACCACGCATCCCAACCCACACTCGTGCTTACTCTACACGGCGGAGCCTAGGGGACACCTGTTACCTGATCCGATAGACGGGGCGGGACCCATACGCTCTTACCGTAACACGAGTCACCCCCCCCCCCTTCACGGGGGGTGGTTTTCCTGAGACACCTCTGGTCTCAGTGGTGCAGCCTGCTTACGCGGGCGACTAACTATCTTCTTTCTTGCCTCTCTCACTTTCCACTGAGTTGTCTTCTCATCCTCTACTCTGCTTACCCTCACCTTATCTATCTCTGAACTTTGACCGAACCCCTTGCATAGGTCTCTACCTGACCTGCTACGGAGGGTCATGCCTTCCCCAGGGGTTACCCCGCCACGGCTGGAGGGGAGGAGGGGGGAGAGTAGTGCAATGGATACAGATGGCAGACACGGAACGCATAACGCCTATCGCCCCGCTCCTCTGTCTGTCCTCACCCTCAACTGCAGAGGCTTGAATATACCAGAACGGCGGACCCACCTGCTGCGGGAACTAAAAAAACATCGCATATCGGTTGCACTTCTACAAGAAACCCACTTTAGAAAGGATGCTGCCCCCCGACTACATAATAGAAACTACCCGTCGAATTACTTTTGTGACCACCCATTAGCGCGAAAGGCTGGAGTGGCAATCCTAATGGCGGCAGACCTGGAATTCCAACAGCTAGATACACTACATGACCCGCAGGGACGCTATCTCTTTGTAAAAGGAACAATTGCAGGTATGCTTTACACCTTTGCTACAGCTTACGTGCCTAACAGACGACAGGCCCAGTTCCTCAGAGGAATGATAAACAAACTAAACGGCTTCTCTGAAGGAACACTGGTTCTGGGGGGAGACTTCAATGCTCCCCTGGACCCCATCATGGACTCCTCAACGGGACACAGCAGTATCTCGCAACTCAACATACGCTCTATGAGGAGGTCACTAGGGGACATGGATCTGGTAGACTGCTGGAGGACCCTACACCCCTCTACCAAAGATTTCACATATTACTCGGCGCTACATAATCGATACTCTCGTATTGATTATATCTTCATTCGTCAAATAGGCCTTCAACGGCTGATATCTGCCAAAATAGACCCTGCAACTTGGTCTGACCATGGTGCTGTTACTATAGAACTCGAATCACCCCTCTTTCGACCTTCCACGTGGTCGTGGAGGCTGAATGAAGCTCTCCTTCTGGAACCTGAGACGCGAATGCAAATCTCCCAGGCACTGGAACAATATTTCCGAGATAACGACATGCCAGATACATCCCCGATTTCAATATGGGAAGCCCACAAGAGCGTCATTAGAGGCACACTTATTCAAATAGCCTCCCGGAAGAAAAAGGTAGCCACGCGCGAAATGTCAGACCTCTATAGGTCAATCTCGGAACTGGAACAACGGCACAAACGTTCTCGCCTACTGGAGACATACGGGGAACTGACGCAGGCAAGAAGACGATTGAAGGACCTCCTTACGAAGCGACCCCTAAGATCTCTACAGTACTCCAAGGGGTTCTTCTATGCCCACGCTAATAAAGGGGGGAAATATCTAGCTCGCCTTCTGAAAGGCAACACCCCTCGCACGCAGGTCCGTAGCATAACACTCACATCAGGCGCCACGACGATCTTTCCGAACGAGATCGCAGAGGAGTTTAGGAAATACTACCACTCACTGTATAATATTCATGCCCACGACGGTCCCAACAATCAAGATGCAGAGGACGCCCGGATACGAAATTACCTACAAGAATCCATCATGAGAACTATCGCTCCAGAGGTGGCGGAGACGCTGGACAACCTAATTTCCGAGGACGAACTCTCAGCGGCCCTGAAATCGTCCAAGACGGGTAAAGCTCCGGGGCCGGACGGCTTTTCAGTTGGATATTATAAAACATTTTCCTCCATTTTAATGCCTTGGTTCACGAAAGCCATTAACGCGGTCGCCACCGGGGAGAACTTCGGAGCGGAATCTCAGGCAGCCATAATAACAGTGCTCCTCAAACCCGGAAAGGATCCGAAGGCATGCGGAAGCTACCGCCCAATATCTTTGTTGAATGTGGATGCTAAATTATTCACTAAAGCCTTAGCTACTAGACTCCGTTCTGTCCTACCGGATCTCATCCACGTGGACCAAACAGGATTCATACCTGGTCGGGAAGCTCGTGATAGCACTCTGAGAGCATTCGCAATACAACATGGGGCACGGACAACTAAGCGACCGCTTCTCCTCCTCTCTACAGATGCCGAAAAGGCGTTTGACCGAGTGAGGTGGAGATATATGCTTGCGACCCTCACCAAAATGGGAGTTGGACACAGGCTCCTCACCTGGATTCAGGCTCTATACCACAAACCACAGGCCGCAGTTCGAGTCAATGGGGCCCTAACCCCTGCCTTTACGATTTCCAATGGCACGAGGCAGGGCTGCCCACTATCCCCGTTGCTATTTGCTATGTCCCTGGAACCCTTACTCCAAACTGTACGTAACAATCCTGACATTCGGGGATACCCCTGGGAAGGGGTGGAACATAAAGTGGCCGCCTACGCGGATGACTTATTTTTTATCACATCACCCCGAACCACAATGCCATGCCTGCTGGAAACATTTGAGCATTTCGGTAGAATTTCAGGTTTTAAACTTAACTTGTCCAAATGTGAGGTGCTTAACATCACTATACCCGACACTGAATACCAGGCCCTAGATCCCCTATTTCCATTCCGATGGTGCCCCTGCAAGATGAGATATCTAGGGATCTGGATCACATCGAACCCGAAAGACCTCTACGCCTTGAACTTCGACCCACTATTGAAGACAATCCTGGCAGACCTGGGGAAATGGACGTACCCACATATCTCATGGATCGGGAGAATAGCAGTTCTCAAAATGAACATCCTACCCAGACTCCTATACTCGTTTCAGACGCTCCCATTAGCTATACCCACACACTTTTTCAACTCGATACGATCAGCGGTTATACGTTATGTTTGGAAAGGGGAGAGGCCGAGGCTTCGACATGATTTGCTTTGCCTGCCGAGATGTCGGGGAGGACTGGCACTACCAGACTTCAAACGATATCATCAAGCTACAGTCCTCCAACGCATATTAGAATGGCACAATGTTCTACACCCGAAACAATGGGTAGCCCTAACCAGAGACGGACGAGAAGCCCGTTTTAAAGTCAGCTATATGGACAGGGGGTCGTGTAACAAGGGTTGGAGGAGAGTCAACAGGGATTATAGCTCAGACGCTGACCAGCTGGGCTCACATAAGAGATCAACCCCATATCTCCCCTGTACCAAGTCCGCTGCTTCCCATCACTTACAATCCAACAATAGGAGGGGGCTTCCCGGCGACGGCGTGGCCATTCGCGGAGGGCCGCGAATACGTACCCATCTCCATGGTTCTGCAGGATGGCAACTTGCGAACTTTAAATTCCCTGCTAGGAGAAACGCCTCTTACACCCTTGGTAACGCTCCGGTATATGCAGGTCCGCCACTACTACAACACCTTGAGCAATAAAGAAAAACTACACAGGGACCGTACCTGGTTTGAAACGAGATGTGAACGTGGCTCCTCACTAGACAAAACCGTATCCACCTTATACCAACATCTCCTGGTGGGTAACCTAACGGAAAACAACACCTTCCGTAGACAATGGGAGACTCTGATGGATACCACCTTTACCCCCCAACAATGGGAGGGCGCACTATTCTGGCAACACAAAAGCTCCATTAGCACCCACTACCAAGAGACGAATTACAAATTAATCGCACTTTGGTACAAGACTCCGATATTACTCCACAGAATTTTCCCTACAATACCACCGACATGCTGGAGATGTCTCGAGGAAAGAGGCACGATAATACACATATGGTGGGATTGTCGCCTCATAGTCCCATACTGGGAGATGATCCGGGAGAAAATAGCAGAGATCTTGGGTGCAACACCCGAGTGGGCGGCAACACTACCCCTTCTACATATTTCAACAATGTTGATTGCCGCATACAAGAAATCAATTTTATGTCATCTACTTAATGCAGCCAAAGCTTTGATCCCGCTATACTGGAAACGGACGGAGACGCCCCGACTGGAAGAATGGATCCGCAGGGTGGAGGACATTCAGGGGGCGGAGGCGATCCAGGCTTCACTTCTTGGGAGGAGAGACAGACATGCAGAAATGTGGCGACCATGGTATACATTCGTGTCTCAGAGCAACTAGAGATAAGCAGCCTGTGGGGGGACACCCTGGGAGGGAGGGCGGCTCTCTGGGGCATGGCCATTTATACCTCCTCTCACTCCCTCAATTCGAACTGCATCCGAGGCGAGTGACAACTCTTCTTTCCTCCACTTCTTTCCCTCTTACCCTATTACTAAACATTTCTTTAATTTTCACTTATAATTTTTAACACATAAATGCACTTATTAGGATGGGGCATGAACACCCCAGCAAAAGGAAACTGCCCTGTAATAGGAACGCATCAGACCAAATATGTACGACAAACACGGTAACATTCATCCCTGCCTATTGGGATTCTTGGAACGACCCACAAACATAAGCGCACCCACCATCCCCCTTTCCCTTTTGGGGTAAACTAGAGGAGACGGCCCACCTCCAGAAGGACCGCACACTCACCAGCAGTGCTCACGGACTCATAATGATGCATACAGGGAGCCAGGGTCGTCACACGAAGTCCCCTGAACTACCCTAGTCCAGCCTGGCACACACCTTGAGGGAGCACAACTGCGCGAGCTACCAAAGGACCCATTAGCTGTAGGATACGATTAGGAACATATGACCATAGGGGTGCTCGATAGTCCCAAGAACTGATGGTAGGGTGATAAGGATAGCTTCATACCCCATAGTGCTCTGACCAAAAGTACCTGTGTCTTTGCGGTCTTAAGAGTAAATAGCTTCAGCCGTATAATGCTACTATGCCAGTTGGAACCTTCCTATATAATTTTACTTTGTGCACAATTGTATAACGTTTTAATACCTGGGACCTGCGTGTCCAAACTGTCTCAATTCTACATCTGTTTGTAATGAAGATAAAAAATACAAAAACTCAATAAATGAGATTTACAAAAAAAAATATCTCCCAAAATTTCAAATAGACAATGAGAGACTTTAATTATAGGGGTGTGAGTGAAGGTGTGGCTTTGAGAAACTTTAGTTGATTTACTAATAACAATTTATGGAAATAAAATGTAATTTAGAACAAGAACAGTTTATTCTTTTTGCAAAGACTTATTTCTAAACCCATTCATTGTAGTTTTAAGACACATTACTGTGAGTATTATTACTGTGGAGTTCTGTTATACACATCAGGCACACCAACAATATGGAACTCATAGAAAAGAGGGACAGGTGGATTTGGGCCTAAAATTGGAACTGTCCTTCCTGAATAGGGAGACTTGGGAGGTATAGTTCACTTCTGTAGAACATTCTAATAAATATTATTTTCCTTTTGTTAATTTTAAAAGTGTTTTTAGAATGTTGCAGTCTTAAACTGTAAGTGTGTACAATTGTTGTCTCTGTGATATGAAATATACGTGAAGTGTCTGCTGTTTGTTAAAAACATGTGATATTCCCACACACCGACCGCTCGGACAGAAGTGTACCCGCACCAAGCGGCGACCATCACCTCTGCTCTCCAACAACCCAAGGAATGGGGCAGTCATGGTCTTCTGGAACATGCTGGTCGATGGAGATGGAATGCCGGCCCCTGTACAAGCCCAGACCTGGTGGGGAGTCCCACACTGGCACATAAACTTTCCTAGCTGCACATCAACCCTGCCACTTCGGGGAGTTGGCTGACTCTGTCCTCTGGCCTCTTGCCCCACAGGGCCTTTACCTGACATAAGCAGAAACCACATACTAGCTCTCTATGCTTAGTATATAGTTACTATCACCCATGCCATTGATAAATGATCATTTTTCATTTTTCTTTACTCTTTTCACTTTATATGCACAACTAGTGTGGTACAGTGATCTGGCAGCATTGCCAGGCCCGGTGGCTTTATCAGCTACGAGTCATTGCCTTTTGTTTTCATTTGAGTTAGTAGTCTTATCTCAAGCAAATTAATCTGGCATGTATACACCACTTATAATTCTTAAGATGTCAGTTTCAGTACTTAAAGCTTAGCCTGATACAGTTCACTGACCTGCATTATCGTGTTACCTTTTGTCTATATACCAAAAATTGTGCTAATATCCCGACTGCCACACTGTTCTGATATGTGTATTACTGATCCTGCCTTTGCTGTTGAGGCAATGCAGGCCTGTTTGTTAAGTGAGCACAACTAAATAAATAATAAAAAATAAATTATATTTTATAACATAAATGTGAAGGCGTTTTACCTGTGTGAAATGGCAGCGTCATACAAAGCCTCTATTATCCCAGCATGCTGTCTGCCTGCCAAGCGCTCAAATGTTCCATTTGGGAAACCATACACATCTGTGCAGTGCAGTGACATAACTAAAATTAATAGGAATCCTGTAGCCGTATGCTTAACGGGATATGGCCTACTTCCAGTCACAAGTGTGAATGCTGGGAGAGACTATGCAAATCCACAGCAAATACATTGTAGATTAAAGGCCAACCTTTAACCCTGCATATCTGGCCTTGGAGTACTATTATTACATGCTACAATAGCACAATACAATTGAGTCATTGGCAAATTACATATTTCTGTATGGTTATACCTGGTTTATCCCAACACTTCTACAATATTTGCATGTTTTCTAGCACTCTCCTTTGCTGCTGTCTTGTTTATCATGCTTCATGTACCTTTTTGATACAAGGAGCATGGGAAACAAGCCTATGATGGAGTACAGACTATATGTTTTGTTTATTTGTTGTTTTTTTTTTTTATCCTTCCCCTGGAGTGGTATAACAAGTGTCTTTAGAGTCATGGTTTCTACATTTTTCTAGCTGCACACAGTGCACTTTGATGCGATGGTTAAACCACATATATACAAGATCTGACTCACACTCCGTTTTAACATGCTCAGTAAAAAATACACATTCATGTGGATATAACTTCTATTTGTTCGAGCCAAACTATTAACTGGAAACAGTTAGAGAAAAGTCACAGCTCTTGATAAAGGCGCGATATTGCACTGAGCTGACGCTGATTTTTTTATCTTGTCAGGAGGAACCCTTTACTTTTTAGACCAATTTAATGCTGATAGTGAGAATCTTTTGAGGCTAGATTTAAAGGGACTGCCTTGAAGCAGTGTGATCTATGTATAGGGAGGTTGTTTAAGAGGACTAGCTTTAGCTGTATTGTCCCCTCCCTCTGCCCCCTGCAAAATAAACCTTTGGAGACACTCTGGCTTAAACTGTCTCCATATTACTCCCTTATCTTTCAGTGCCTGGTCCTTTCTGTTCTGTTAGGAGGGGTTGAGGCAGTGTTCCAAATCGTTTGCTACTGGTTTAGCACTTGTGTATGGGTTCTGCTTTAAATGCAGGTTTAGTGATTGTCAAGTAATGGGAAGGCACTGACTATTTTTTTTCTGTACTAATTTGCAGATGCAAATCTCAGACATTCAACTACAGGAAGCTTCCTACGACATCAGTCATCATTGCATTCTACAATGAAGCCATGTCAACGTTGCTCAGAACAATTCATAGTGTTTTAGAAATGTCTCCTTCGGTACTTTTGAAAGAAATTATATTAGTTGATGACTTCAGTGATAAAGGTACTTTACATTTATTGATAATTGGTAAAATATATATTCTGGAATGTGCAAAGTCTGATTCGTTTTAATACTTTTCATACGTTTATTGTTACCTCAAAAGCTGGGCACATCTAATTTGTACTCGTGTAGTTAACCTTTTTCTTGGTGGTAGCACCCTCTAATTGAACGTGTGCACCAAGGTTCACCCCAGAGTTCTAGTGGCAAGTTATGGACTACTGGAAGGCCTGCGGGTACAACAAGACAGTGGTTGTCCTACGTGCAACTATCAGTGTTGGTGCATTTCCCACTGCATTATTTAGGATATACAGACTTTACATGCATTATAAAGAGATTGCTGTAACGGAGCTCCCTGTACTCCGACTGAGTACCCTCCGTTGACGGATGCTCCTAGCACTTCCTGAGGAATCCAAGCACTGCAGCAGACACCACAACCACCGCAGACTCCGCAACCGCCGTATCTTGACTGGAGTCTCGCCGTCTTCCTTCCACCCTGGATCAGCTTCTGTCCTCCAGGACTGTGTGGGAAAGAACTCTTCTTTCCACCTTGTATGAACCTCCAGCATCCAGGACTGTGTGGTGAATACCCCTCCTCGAAGGAGAGCGTGTCAGAAACAAGCTCTTAAAAGAGCTAAGTGATTCAAGCTCAGGGGAGCATGCAGAGCATAGCAATCCCCGGTGTGATTATAACAGCTCCCTCCAATAACGAGACAAGGCTACGTTTAGAGGGATCAAGAAGAACTGTCAAAACCTTTATTTCCCTTGGGACCAGCCAATAGGGTCACCACAATAACATTGTTGTGAAACCTCAATAAAATCACAAACAGTCAAACCATATCAAGCAACACACAGTGACTTATCACAACACAATGGCACATTTTTAAAGGGGTGGGGGGAGACAATATTTAACAGTAAATATCTCACCTGCCTGCAGAATTAGCAATATGCAAATCTGGTGACTATAGTGACTATAGTGCTTGAAGCCAATGATTGCACTCACCAGAACAACTACATTAAGCTGTAGTTATTCTGGTGACTATAGTGTCCCATTAATGTTCCTGCTGGAGGTCTAACTTCACCTCAGACAGGTTTAATTAGCTAGCCGGTGCAAGAGAGCTCATGCTAATTCTGTAGATATCTACTGCAATGACATTTTGTCATGGGCTGACACTCAATGAATGAACATTAGTATTGGCATCCTGTTTCTACAGATGGCACAGCTGCCTTTCTTGGAGGCACAGCACACAGGTGAGTGGCGAACTTACGGGTTTGCCACCTTACCAAGGAATTGCACCAGGATGCTACTGGCATCATAATTAATACAGAGTTAAATGCACAAATACATTTTCAGGGCATACCATCAACACCCATTGTTTCCCCTCACCTTTTTGCAGGTGCTTTCACAGCTCTTGCAAGACAAAAATAAAAAAAAACAATTTTTACATATTTATATATATATTAGCCTTCACTATTTCATATTAATTTTATAATATTATATGGGGCTCTATAATAACATACGCTGGTTGCATAGGTTATGGTGCAATGAGGTTCCTTGTCCCTTTCACCATGAACATGATATATTCTAATTGCAGTGATTTACAAATACTCTGCAGGTGTATTTCAAGTGTATGCCTGTCACTCTAGTGACTAACATCAGAGGAGGCAGCAATACCTCGTTCATTGCCTGTCCAACAATTTCTACAACTTCTGCAAATTCCCACCTCAGCTAGCAGGCTTCCTCGTACCTTGCTTATCTAAGTATTCTTGGCAGTGGTTTATGGCATAAGCCCAGGCTCAACTGAATTACTTTTATTGCAGCAGCTTTAGGTTACTGCCTTTACCAAGACGTGTCAGTGTCTGACTGTGACAGCTTGCATAACCCCAATACTATGAATCATCCGGTCACTTGGAAATAATTAGAGGGGTGTGCAATATAGCATGCTTGATTATTCATGGTTTCTTTAAATGATTACATCAATGGAAACTTGCTAAGTGCTTGTCAGGGATATGTTTTATTCTAGTAGAGCAACTGGAACTTCAGCTGACACTGTTGTTCTGCCACCATTTAAGTCATTTCTCAAGTCCTCTATATGGGAAAACACTTTGGAACCTTTAGAATGGATTAAATTAACACCATTTATTCTCCTGTGATTTTAAGAAGCTAAACTCCAGACTGTTCATAACGTTTAGTCCCTGTCCATATTACCCCTACTCAGCCTTCATCAGGGACCAAATAACTAAAGAAAAATTTGATGAGCAATTATTGAACTATCCCCAACAAATGCAGCTCAACAAGCACTTCATAAACGTCTAGATTTCTGCATGCATTTGTTTCCCCCCCCCCCCTCAAACATTGAGTTGTATTTAAAAGGACACTATAGGCACCCAGACCACATAAGCTCATTGAAGTGTTCTGGGTGCGGTGCAGTTTCCCTATGGTACTTAGTGCTGCAGAGTTTACATTGCAGTACTAAGTCTGACTCCAGTGACTGTCTCCCAGACAGCCACTGGGGGTGCTTCTTGAATACTAATGGACCTTTGGTCCGGTAACTGATGCTTGATGTCCTCACACTCTGCATGAGGACATCCAGCGTCCAATTTATTTATTTAGTTTTCCATAGGAAAACATTTATTCAATGCTTTCCCATGGGGAGGCCTAATGCACGCATGGCATTTGCTGCGCATGCACATTAGCGACCGCTCTTTGTGGGACATTGGAGAAGCCGAGAGACATCAGCGCTGGGGTAAAGTAAGTAAATAAAGGGTTTTAACCCTTTATTCACATAAGCGAGGGCGAGAGGGAGAGGGGAGGCAGAGGGAGCTTTGTATTCCTAGCCCTTATAGTATCCCTTTAAGCGAATATGCATGCTATGAGCAATTTTAAAATGTTCAGAATGCAGTGGGTTTGATGTTCAATGTAACTCTGTTGCACGTAATGTTTGTGTTTCATTTGCCTGTCTAAGCACCACACCACAACAGCCCATTGTTGTAGTTGAGGTAATAGTAGGCTGTAGACTGTCTCTTAGTTGTTTGAAAAAGTGGGGGTACCCAGGCACCTGCAGGCCATATTGATAATACAGTAATTAACTTTGCCAGTAGTAAGATCTGTTTCATCCATATATGTATGTATTCATTCAGTTATGCCAAGTATGTGTAGACATTATGCATGAATGAATTAATTTTATATCCTTGTGCAAATTTTTTTCTAGTGTATTTGAAGACTCAACTTGAAACATATATCAGCTCCTTGGAACGAGTCCGATTAATAAGGACGAACAAACGTGAAGGATTAGTGCGTGCACGGCTGATCGGTGCTACTTATGCCATAGGTGATGTGCTCACATTTCTGGACTGCCACTGTGAATGTGTCACTGGTTGGCTAGAACCACTTCTGGAGAGGTATGTTATAGACTGTATCAAAAGAAAAATTACAATGGTACAAAAAAGTTATTTTCTGATATTTAATTTTGATTTGTTTTGTTTTATTCGCTTAGATCTCCAGTTTAGGAATTGCTTACTTCTATTGCAAGAGACATAGGCATAAAACGTGTCCTGTCATGCTAGACTAAGGGAAAAGATTATAATTGATTTAATGGTTTGGCATCCTGTGGAATAAAAACAAAGGTTATAGCTACCTGGAAACATATAATGTGACGGCAGATAAGAACCATTCGGCCCATCTAGTCTGCCCAATTTTCTAAATACTTTCATTAGTCCCTAGCCTTATCTTATAGTTAGGATAGCCTTATGCCTATCCCACGCATGCTTAAACTCCTTTACTGTGTTAACCTCTACCACTTCAGCCGGAAGGCTATTCCATGCATCCACTACCCTCTTAGTAAAGTAATACTTCTTGATATTATTTTTAAACCTTTGCCCCTCTAATTTAAGACTGTATCCTCTTGCTGTGGTAGTTTTTCCTCCTTTAAATATAATCTCCTACCCACTTCTCCATATCCCGTATTAATGTCCTGATAAGAGGTGTGTAATTTTGTTGGTGTCAAAGAGAGGGGTCCGCCGTTAAGCAGATTCCCAAATATTTAATATAATCTGTCGCGATACGTATCTGATATGTCCTCCCTATGTGCGCCGCGTCCGTATCACTCAACCCAATGGGGAGTGCACTCGATTTATGTAGGATGACTCTGTATCTGGCCACTATGCCATAATCCATCAATATCCTTGTCAGAGCAACCATAGACTCTAGCGGAGCAGTCAGTGATAACAGTATATCGTCCGCGAATCCCGATATAACGTATTTCTGCCCCCCTACTGTTATTCCCTTGATCTCCGGGGTTGTCCTTATCTTGTGCATGAGGGGTTCTAAGGAAAATACGAATAGTAGCTGTGACAGAGGAGAGCCCTGCCTTGTGCCATTACTCAGTGGGAAAGGGATAGATTGCGCTCCCGTTATCCGCACCTGCGCCTTGACGTTGGTGTACAGAGCTTGAATGGTTGTGATAAACTGGGCCGGCATGCCAAAGTGGCGCAGCGTCTCAAATAGGTATGGCCATTTGACTCTGTCGAACGCTTTTTCAGCGTCTGACAGCATCAGTGTCGGGATTCGTAGCCTAGCTTGTCGTCCTATGAGATCAATGTTGTGTCTCGTATTTTCAAACAGTTGCCTACCCGGCACGAAGCCTACCTGGTCCGGGTGAACCAGGCGAGTGAGAATTGGGTTTAATCTAATCGCCAGTACCTTGGCTAGAATTTTAGCATCATGGTTGATCGATGAGATTGGTCTAAAATTCTCTGGTATTGAGTCATCCTTACCCGGCTTAGGTAGCAAGACTATGTTTGTTTGCAAGCGACATTTCTTGATCTGGGGTCCCCCCTTCCTGCAGATCGTTGAACCATGCTTCAAGGTGGGGTAATAGCTCCTCCCTAAAAATCTTATAGTAGCTTCCATCAAAGCCATCCGGGCCAGGCGCCTTGTTGCTTTTTAAGGCTGAGATCGCTGCGCCTATTTCCTCTGCCGTGATCTGGGTTTCAAGTGTTGCCGCAGCCGCCTCGCCCAGCTTTGGAAGAGGGATTCCAGAGAGGAACTCTCGTACCCCCTCTAGTTCCCTCTGCGGGTGTGAATCCACCCCCTGCGAATGGTTATATAATGCGGTGTAGTACCCCGTAAACACTTTGGCAATTTCTGTAGGATTCGTTTGGTAGAGTCCCGCAGCATTCTTTGTAATGTGTGTGTTCCGTTGTCGCGGTCTCAGTGCTCTTGCCAGTAGAGTATCCATTTTATTGGCCTTTTCATAAAAGGTCTGCCTAGACCAAACTATGGCTCTCGTAGTGTTGTCAAGGAGCGTTACTCGTTTGGCATATCTGGCATCTTGTACCTTCTTTAAATTAACGTGTGAGGGGTCCAAATTGTGCCGTTGCTCTGCCAATCTCAAAGCATCTAGTTGAGATGCCACTAATTGAGCTTTTTTCCGTTTCCTGAGTGTCGCTTCTCTAATCAATATCCCTCGAATGACGGACTTGTGAGCTGCCCATATTACAGCTCTGGACACCCCCGATGCAGCTTCCCTTAGGAAGTACTCATTTAGTTCTCTGCGGACGATATCAACTATTTCCGCGTCCCGCAGCAGCGAGTTGTTCAGCCGCCATGACCACGGGGTTGCTGTGCTTAACTTGTCCAGGGTGACAGAGAAATCCGCGTGATCCGACCAAGTTATGGATCCCACGGATGACTCAGAGGCCCTAGAGACAACTTGGGAGTTTACTAAAAAGAAGTCAATTCTAGAATGTGTGGCTGTGAGTAAAAGGTATAATCTTTCTCATCTGGGTGTTGAGCTCTCCAAATGTCTATAAGCCCTGTTTGTTGTATGAATGTGTGCAATAGTCTATCTTGTCCGGCACCTTCTGTGGGATCAGGGAATTCCCTTACAGGGTCCCCTGTCCACCGCCGGGGATGGAGCCGCGTTGAAATCGCCCCCCACGATCACCATTCCCTTCGTAAGTGTGTTGACAGTGTAGGTAAGTTCCTCCCAAAACTCCCTAGATGGATCGTTGGGGGCATATAAATTGAGGATATGAATTGCGTGGGAATACAAGAATCCCGACACTGATACAAAGCGTCCCCCTGGGTCGATTCTAACTCCACTAATTCTGATCGGGCACCTCCGATGTATCAGTATGGCTACGCCATTCCGTTTATTGAGGGCTCTCGCTTCATATGTGGTATTGTATGTATAATCTTTGAGAGCGAAATTGGCCGTTTTAGGTAGATGTGTCTCCTGTAGGAAGGCTATATCTGGATTCAAACGCTTCACTTCCCTAAACATGAGCCGTCTTTTCTTAGGTGCATTCAAGCCCTTAACATTTAGAGATATCAACTTAATAGGCATGGGTAAATCCGTGGTGTGCCACCCCAACCAACATCCTGGCACCTTGATTACTAGATTGAGCCCCTGGACCTCCCCCATCCGTTCCCCCGGGGAGTGTAAAGGAAGGGAGAGAAGAGATAGGATAGAAGGAGGGTAGAAAAAAGAGTAAGAAAAAGTAAACTTTGTACATAAATCGCCTGGGCTTACCTGTAGCCAGGCACGATTGGGGTAAATGTCCCGCCACCCCCAGTGCTTCGAAGAACCCTGGGGTGTACGGGGCATGGACCAGCCAATGTGGGCACTGTGTCAGTGCCAACTGAAACATCAAGAATAAACACCACCACCTATGTGGCTTGTAACGAATATAATAAAAACAGTAGAGCCGCCCCAATGGGCGCAGTTATCCGCCCAAGATCCTCGCCCATATTTTATCGCCCATTATTTCTTATATGGGATATAGGCCTCTTCCCCATTTCTCTCCTTTTTCTTTATGTATTCATCATTTTTTCTTGCTTTTTTTTTTTTTCTTTTTTTTTACATTATGTCTTTCTTTTTTTTTTTCTTCTTTTTTAAGATTTTCCTTTTTTTTCCATTTTTTTCCCCTTCTTTCTCTTTCCCCTCTTTCTCTCTCCCCCCCTTCTTCTTCTCCCTTATCTCCCTCCCCTCCTTCTCTTGCTAATACCAGTATCTAATGTGGAGGGCCGCCAACCAGCCATTCACTGGGGGTGGGCGGGTCGGAAGCCTCCGCAAAAATCTGAGTTTTTTTTATAATTACTAAATGTTAACTTTTTTTTTTACTATTTTGGCCATATCTGCGTAGTACCACAGTGGTTTCTTGAATTTTTTGCTTTTACTGACCAGCCTAATGCAATTTTCTGTTGCCTTCAGCAGTGCAACTTTTAAATAATCCAATTTCTCTTGGACTCCATTTAAATTGCTCCAGTCTGATAATGACTCCTTTACACATATTCTAATTTTAGAAAAGTCTGTTTTTTTAAAGTCTAAAACTTTTGTTTTTGTGTGGTGTGACTCAGTCACTGTTCTTATATTAAACCACACTGACTGATGATCACTGGATCCTAAACTTTCACCTACAGTAATATCTGATACAAAATCTCCATTTGTTAACACTAAATCTAGTATGGCCTCTTTACGAGTTGGCTCCTCAACGACTTGTTTTAGAGACAATCCCAGTAGGGAGTTTAGGATATCTGTGCTCCTGGCACAAGCAGTTATTTTGGTTTTCTAATTCACATCAGGAAGATTAAAGTCACCCATGATGATAACTTCCCCCTTCATTGTCATTTGAGCTATTTCCTTTGACTAGTAGATTATCTAACTTTTCTATTTGTCCTGGGGGGCCTATAAATCACACCTACACGAGTTACTGTGTGATTACCAATTTCTAACGTAACCCAAACGGACTCTATGTTCGCCTCACTAACTTTTCTTGGGCTAGATTTTATGCTATCTTTCACATACAGGGCCACCCCCATTTCCTGCCTTCCCTGTCTTTTCTATATAAAGAGTACCCTAGTATTGCTATGGCCCAGTCATTTTTCTCATTATACCATGTCTCAGTAACAGCGACTAAATCTACATTATCAGTTGCCATTATTGCCACAAGTTCATGGATCTTATTCCCTAAACTGCGAGCATTTGTAGACCTGACTCTCATCTTATCATTTTTTAACACACTTGCTACCAGCACCTTCTGTCCTTGTTTTGGGGGGCAATTGGATTGATGTTTTATCACCCTTTTGCTCCCCCTCCTAGTTTAAATACATCCTAGCAAAACCTCTGAACTGCTCACTGATAACATTTGTTCCCCTTCAAGAAGGATGCAAACCATCTTTTTTGTACCATTTATTTCCATTCCAAACAGAGCTACCATGAGAAATAAAGCCAAATCCTTGCTTCCGACACCATTCACCAAGCCACAAGTTTAAGTCCCTAATACGCATCCGCCTGTCGTTCTGAGTGTTATACACAGGCAGAACTTCAGAGAATGACAGTGTGGAAGCAACCTGCCGTATATCATTGGCAAAAACACTAAAAACTTCCTTAACCTCTGAAACCTCATTGCAAGCCAAGTCATTTGTCCCTAGATGGACAAGTACATCCAATTCCCCTTCCTGCTTTGCTTGCTTAACAATATTACAGATACGTCTCCTGTCTCTGTGAGCAGTAGCTCCGGGAAGACATCTCACAAGACCACCATTTTCCATCTCCACCCCTCTTATGATGGAATCCCCCTCCAACAACAACTTCTATTAGGCCTCACCATAGTCTCCAAGCCTGTCTCCACAACACCACTACACTTGGTGCCTGAGCTTGTCTCAACAACACCACTACACTTGGTGCCTGAGCCTGTCTCCACAACACCACTACCCTCCGTGCCTGAGCCTGTCTCCACAACAACACTACCCCCCGTCCATGTCTCCATAACACCACTACACCTGGTACCTGAGAATGTCTCCATAAGAGTTTGTTTACCAGATAATTTACAAATCTCAGATTTCAAAAATACAATCTCCTGCCGCAATATAGAGAACGGTCTACAGATTAGACCGCATCCAAATCTCCAAAAAGTGGAACGTGAAACAAATGCATAACAACTATTACACTGAACTAAATCTGACATTTCAATGAGGTAAATAATTTAAATCAAACAAATCTTACATTTTTGTCCTCCTGAATACCTCAAATTACCTCCAGTTTATCTCCAGAATATCTCCAACCACACACTTAGAAGCAGCACTCTCCAGAATATCTCCAACCACACACTTCGAAGCAGCACTCTCCAGAATATCTCCAACCACACACTTAGATGAAGCAACCAAGCTATATAAGCCAAGCTAATGACAACAACCCTTATAGAACTCCTAAAAGCACCACCCACTAGGAATGTTTAACACCTGGGTAGGCCTATGCTTATTTGCAAACAATAGCTAATTAAGCAACAATCAATAGTAAGTATTTAGCAAATGAAATCGAATGCCTTACTAAATTACCAACAGGAAATCAAACCTTGTACAATCAGTAACATTTTCCTACAGATGAATCTTACCTGTAACAGTAGAAAAGAAAACTCCTAGCAAACTCTTAGACAGTTGAAGCTTCTGTAAAACTCTCCAGAATATCTCCAACCACACACTTAGAAGCAGCACTTAGATGAAGCAACCAAGCTATATGGAACTATGAGAGTATGATGATGAGAGTGTTTAGTTAAGAAAAGTGTAAGCAAAGTGGCTTACAACAGAATGTAAGAGACATTCATTCAGTGAGATTAGACAATGGTTTAAAGGGACCCTCTAGGCACCATAACAATTTAATCAGTTATGGTGCTAAGAGGCTCCTGGCGCCGACTTACCATTAGGAATTAGACTGTTAATGAATAACTTAACCCGTAAGTGTTGCATCCAGCCCTCTTAGATCTGCCTCTCTACTTCCGCTTTTGTCAAGGCTTGAATCCGGAAGCTGTAAAAGGGTCCGCTACTGATTGACTTAAAGCATCAGCTGACCCAATCAGTAGGTCCCCATTAACAAAACTGCTTGAGAAAAATATGCACTTCTCAAATTTCTCAAGCCATTTTTTAAATGGGGTGCAAATGATTTATTTAGTGTCACCTAACACAGCCAATCCTCTGTTCCACTGTCCTAAGCTTCTTGTTTCAAGGCTCTATTAAAAGTGAAAGGAGAGTGGCAGAGCTAACCGGCATTAAATCCAATACTTTGGGGTTAAGCCAGGGCTCAACAAATCCCAGGCACCATGGCGACTAGAAATTTTGTCATGGTTCCTGAGATTTTTTTTCCTGACAGCCCTTTAGCAAAGGCAGTTGCCCACACAGGGTTGCATGGTAGCCGACTGCCAGCCTGGGGTTGCGTGGGAAGCGGTGAGCGAGGGAGCAGTAATCTTCCTGCAGTTCTACTATGCTCACTCACTGTTTAGTAATGCCCAGAGCCAGAATATGTTGTCACTACAGAGTGCACACCGGCGAACAGAACTGCAGGAAGATGATCGGACAAGTCCCACTGGACCTTAGGAAAAGATCAACACAGCTCTAGCAAAGGTAGGGAGGGTGGGTGGACATAAATGAAAAGAAAATGTGTGTGTGTGTGTGTGTGTGTGTGTATTTGTCCTCTGTGTATGTCTGCCTGTCTCTCTCTCTCTCTGTGTCTGTCTGTCAGTGAGTGTGTCTGTTTAGGTTTTACGTTACAACACTAAGTGCAATAGAGACACAGCACCCAGACCACTTCAGCTCACTGAAGTGGTCTGGGTGCCTACAGCTTCCCTTTAATGTGTTGAAGGAGACCAGTGCTTGTAAATATATGACATGTTTATTGTAGAGTTACAAACCAGTTTCCATAGCTTATATTGGAGATATGTGCTGATGCAGATAAGTATTGAAACCAGTCTTGGTCTTTGAGCCTTTCAGTAGATAGCTTCCTGATACCGTGGGAATTGGGGAGCTATTTACTAAGCATCTGCAAGATGCAGAGTCGGCAAAAATAGGATTGGCATTTCATTCATTCAATGAAATTCCGATCCGAATAGAAAGTACAGAATTGCATCCTAACATGAACGAAAAAAACTGTTCTCATTCTGTTGGGGCGAAATTCTATGTCTATGTGACAGGACGTTCGGGAATACTGAGAGGAAGCATCGCGAGATCACTGAGGAAAGGGTGAATATTGTGGGAAAATTTCTCTGACCCGCAGGAAGTAGGTCAGAACTGGTCAGGCGTAGGAAAAATACATAATAGAAAGTAGTCCCTACTTTGTCTTATGTTTTAAAGAAAACTAAATCAGATAGGAAGAAACGTTTAACAGATCCTGAGAGAGGGAGAGAAGCGGAAGCGATTGGGAAAAGGTAAGTTCGGCATGACCGTGCCGCTTTAATTTGCTTAAATGGGCATTTGTTTTGTGTGTATTTTTATTTGTTTTTTTTAATTCCACCTTATGCTAGAGATTGCACACTTTCATTCTGGTAATATGTAATAAAAGTGAGGTCAAATATTTTATCAAGGTTATTAGAGGTGTGGCAAGATGTTTTATGGGATGGTAAAAGTAGTTTATAATGGAAGTGTTGTATGTTGGGTGATCAAAATTTTCTTGTTTTATTGCACTTTCCAAATGTAGGATTGCGGAAAATGAAACTGCAATTGTCTGCCCAGTGATTGATACCATTGATTGGAACACGTTTGAGTTTTATATGCAGACAGGAGAGCCAATGATTGGAGGATTTGACTGGCGTCTGACCTTCCAGTGGCATGCAGTCCCCGAGCAGGAGCGCCAAAGACGGAAATCCAGGATAGACCCAATCAGGTAATGCTCTTTACTATCAGTTTGGCCAATCTTCAGCAAAGACATAGTCCAAGAATTTGACAGCTGGGACAAGACCAACTTTTGATTATTTTAATTTTATTTTTAATAAAATAAAAAAATATTTTTTAATAAATATGTAAGTTTGCTAATGTTTCTACTAGAATAATATACAGGTGAAATTACAAGATTCTAAATTTGAAAAGTGTTCTGTATCATGGCAGGTACACTTGAAGAGAAACAGAAACTTTGTAGTGGATTTTGTCCAAAATTTGGATAATCTAGTTTGTGCAGTATAAGTCATATATTTTTCATCTACATATATAAGATGTAGGCATCTGCTTTAAATTAAAGAAATTATGATTTGCATATAATTTGAGGTTTCGGGGGGATAGCATCATCTTTTTTTAGTAAGGCAGTACGTTACTTATACAGCTAAATAAATACGTGATTCAGACTTTGCTTAGTTGGCTCTGCAACTTTGATTTTAGTCTAGACAAACTCTAATACTGACAGAAATACCGGAACAAACGCCTTCACGTCACGCTCTTGCTGGGATCATGTACCCACCCTGGGCGTCCCCTTTCATTGCTAAAGCTCTTAAGATATTTAATGTGATTGAAATGTTTATCTGTTTCAGTGCTTTTCTTCTGACTCAAAAGCATTAGGTAAATCTTGAAAAAGAAAAGTATCAATCATCTGATTTGCAAAACTAGATATAATATATTTACTGAAATATTAATGATTTCAAAATCACAAAATATCAAGCAGCCCTCAACAACAGCCCAGGCAATTGAAACTAGACTTGTCCATTAGTGCCACGTTTGTGCCGTTTAAATCTAATTTCTGTCTCTTTTCTTTGTTTTCAAGTTATTAAATTAACTATTTTATTATGGTACAAAAGCACAAGGACATAAAAAACAAGCTGGTTAATTAAATCTGCGCATGTGTCATTCAAGTATCCATTCTTTCAAATCTCTCACAATCACAAATATACACACAAACAATCAGACCTATACACACACACACACACACACACAATAACAGATGCACACAGACACACATACAATCACATGCATGCACAATCACAGACCTATACACACAGTCACAAACCTAAACACACATCACAAATATGCACACACACACACACATACAATCACAGACCTATACACACAATCACAGACCCACACACATGCTTGCAATCACACACAGGAACATACACACACACAATACAGATACAATCACACACATACATTCACACACACAATCACACTCACCTACACGCACACAATCACAGACCTATACACATAGTCATATATATAATCACAGACCCACACACATCACAGGTGCACACAGACATACACACACAATCACAGACCCACACACAATCATAGATACAAACAATCACAGACCAATAAACACATAATCACAGATGTGTATACACACAGATACACAAACACAATTACACACACATGCAATCACAGAACGATCCATACACACAGTCACCGACACACACACCTTTATACACAATCACATACATACAAACATGTAATCACAGATATACACACACAATCACACACCCACATACATTATCACATACATTATCACATACATACATTATCACTGACTTGCACACACACAATCACAGAGATACACACTGACCCTCCACACACACACATTTACTGACAAAACATACACACACATTTTGTACTAAAGAGGTCAACCCAGCCTGGCATTTCAATTGACTCTCTTTCATTTTCCTTTTCAGGTTTCAAATGATAAAAAACTGATTTATATTCAAATGAAAGTGCTTCTTTAAAAGCTTACTTTACCTCCCTCTAAGGATTACTAAATGTGTAGCACTTTGTCAGGGTTGGGGCAATTATTTAGTTATTTATTTATAAAATATTTTACCAAGAAGGATGCAGTGAGATTTCTCTCATTTTCAAGTCATTTCCTGTGCCCACAAACATTACATTGTTATGATTGGGTACAATATAATATTATTACATTAAATTAAATATTAAGGCTTATTGTATTTGTTTTGGTGAGTATAATCATCCCTTTCAGGCTTTTTGCAGTAATCACTGTCTTTTCAGACAGTGCAGTGTTTACATTTTAACCTAGGGATACCTCCACTTGCCACTCCTCATATGGCTACTAGACGTGCTTCCTAGGGCAGTGCTGCATTGTGTGCAACACTGACATTTAGTGTCTACACTCTGCATGGAGATACTGAACTTACTGCATTGATTCGGTGTGTCTCTATGAGGAGATGCTGATTGTCCAGGGATATGTTTGGCTTGTGCTGGCTCTGCCCCGATCTGCCTCCTTGACAAGCTAAGCCAATCCAAGCATTGTGATTGGCTCAGAACACTACTTTTGATGATGTCAGCAAAGCAGGCAGATAAGGGGCAGAGCCAGCAGCAGCAGACTGGAGTAAAGGTACAATTTTGCTATATTTAGGGGCAGCTAGATAGTGTTTTTAACACTATAGAGTCAGGAATACATGTTTGTTTTTCTGACCTTATAGTGTTCCTTTAAAAATAAAAAATAATATTAAAATACACATACGGTCATGGGGAAAAGAAAACACACCCTCTTTGATTTCTATGGGTTTACATATCCAGACATAACAATCATCTGTAACTTAGCAGGTGTTAAAACTGGGCAAATACGACCTCAGAAGGAAAATGAGGATCGAGCTACTTTCGTTTTGGTACATTAAGTAAACTGCTGGTACTAGATCGGAGGTTACGAGGTGGGAACAGCTAGGGCGAGAATTCTACTTTGGTTGGGAAACGCTCTTAAACACAAGGATGGAAAGTTGAAAGGTGTCTGTATCCCAGCACTAGCCAGTTTAGCTTTTTTAACATTAAAAGGACACTATAGTCACCAGAACAACTACAGCTTATGTAATTTGTTCTGATGTGTAGAATCATTACCTTCAGGCTTCTTGCTGTAAACACTGTCTTTTCAGAAAAAATGCAGTGTTTACATTACAGCCTAGTGAAAACTTCACTGGCCACTCATCAGATGGCTGTTAGAGATCCTTCCTGGGTCATGGCTGCCTAAAATGCATCCAAACATTCAGTGTCTCCTCCCTCTGCATGCAGACACTGAACTTTCCTCATAGAGATTCATTGACTCAATTCATCTCTGTGAGGAGATGCTGATTGGCCAGGGCTGTGTTTGAATCATGCTGTCACGATTTGTGGAACCCAACACGCTGGCACACACACACACACACAGAAAAGGTGCCGTACCGGACCTTAGAGTGGCCGGGCTAAGCACGCTAAGATTAGTCAGGAGACAAGCCAGGTAAAGGGAGCCAGAAAACAGGAGAACGAGAAACAAGCCGAGGTCAAAGGAGTGGAGAAGACAGAATAATCGGAATAACGAGCCAAGTAATCGGTAACCAGAGAGCAAGACGAGAACAGTACGCTACAGGGATCACAAGACCACAACAGGGCACTGAGGGACAGGAAAGGTAAGTATAAATACCCTTGGTTTAATTCTGATTGGATAACTTCCAATCAGAATTAACAATCACACGTGGGGGATATCTATACCCCCCACTGTGATTGTGGTACTGTTTCTTTAACGCCGGGTCACTCACGTGACCCCGGCGTTTACATAATTAATTGACCTCCCAGCGTGCAGCGTTATACATGCTGCCGCTGGGGGGCGTGGAGGACGCGAGCGGCAGAGAGGAGACGCCGCTCGCCGAGAGGTAAGCAGAGGGGAGACCGCGGGCGGCAATGGAGTGTGGGTGAGTGCTGCAAGTGGCGTGCAGCCTCCCCTCCTAGCCGCCCGCGGATCCCCGACACATGCTGGCTCTGCCCCGATCTGCTTTTGTCAGTCTCAGCCAATCCTATGGGGAAGCACTGTGATTGGATCAGGCTACCACTTCTGATGATGTCAGCAGACTGTTTTTTTTTTTTTTTTTTTAGGCAAACAATGCAAAGTTACAGCTTCTGACTTGAATAGCACTAGCACTAAACTAGCCAGTTTAGCTTTTTTAACATTAAGAAAAAGAAAATTTGATATATATACAATCACATGCATGCACAATCACAGACCTATACACATATTATCTTAATAATCAAAGCACCACAAATCTTCATTTTTACAGCACAAAAAAGCACAAATGTAGCACCAACAAAAAACAATGGATTTGTGCTGATTGGGGGTAGGCAGCTTCACACAGCCTGATTTGGAACATATTTTGGTAGCCTTTTAAATCTACTCTCTTGAAGTCTAAATCCACTCATTTTGTTAGACTTTTCTGTTACTATTTCTGATGGTTCAACTCCAGGGTGTTTTATTTAAAGCAATTCTCTTGTGTATCACTGCTTTTTATAGAGGCAGACAGAGGAAGTGTATCTGTGTGTGCGAATGTAACTGTAGGAGAGATTTCATATTAGCTGCTGAAACAAAATGTTATTTTAGCAAGTCTGATCTCATCTCATGTCAGTTTCTGCTGAGCAATACAATGCAATATGTTCATTTCAAGGGACACTATCAGGGTTAATTGCTAAAGTAAGCATCCAAATTGAATTTCAAATTCAAGGCTAGAGTAACCAAACTGAAAGCATAGCTGACCTAAAGATTTTCCAGTTTAACTATTTTAATTTAAAATGTACATTAAATTCTCACTTTAGTGAATAGCTCTGTGTTATCTAGACATGAACCTTTTTTTAACATTACATGAAAAATGCATTAAAAATACTTCCAAATTGAGGAGCAACAATGGCGTCCCTGCACAGAGGATGCTCCGATTTCTCGGATGGGACATCCAACGAGGGGAAAGGGAGCTTTATGCCAGCCAGTGTGCCGCCACCGCTAGAGAGGCCACGGCAGCCTGCACCAACCCCCACACCGGTGACCATGGAGGCCATCGTAAGACCTTATGGCCACCCACCATGGGAAAATCTCAGCAGAGGTTGCCTCGATCAGAGAGGACCTGAGAGGCTGGGAACCGCCGAAAGCACCTCCAGAGACTACACACGCCAAATTGCGGAACTGCAAGCAGCGGTCCACGACCTGAAACAACAGGCGATACTTCATGATCAGCAACTGGCCGCACAAGAAGACAAGCGGCGCCAAAACAACTTGAAACTACGAGGTATATCAGAGGCCAGGCACCCACACTACACCAGGCGACTGTTAACCGCGCTACTAACCCCAAAGGCGGCAAAAATTATCATGCTGGATGGGATCTTCCGCATACCGCGGCCAGCTACTGCACGACCTGCGGCTACAGGGGATGTAATTCTCCACTTTCAAAATGCAAGGGACAAAAGGGCAGTGATTGACGCCATTAAGGGCCAACCAACATATACCTTTGAGGAAATGACCCTATCGTTTTACGCGGACCTATCAAGTGGGACACTGACCTGGAGACAGTCCTTCGGGCCGTTCACCTCCCTCCTACGACAACACTGAATCCGGTACCGCTGGGGATCAGGCCGAGCGCTACGCATAGAGGGCGCAAGCGGCCCATTGCTCATATGGAATCTACAAGAGGCCACAGGGGACTTCGAAAAGCTAAACCTCCCACTGATGACTCTGGACTCCCCTGACGATATCGAAGGGACCCGCACGCTGCCTTGGGAAGAATGCGGCCAGCGCACCGGAATTTATACCAAGGCAACGACCCGTAACACCTTATGCGGCAGCCACGACCTAACTCTGGACTAAGAGCTTAAGGACACTCACCGGGATGCACTCCCCTTCTCTGCCGAGCAACCATATGGCAGGCGGCTCTAAGGCCATGCACCCTCGCACCTGCCGGGAGTGAACAAGACTACTTGATTGCATTATTTGTTTTATTGACTGTTTGTTTGTTTTACTGACTTAACCCACATTCCACTATACTTTTAGTCTTCACTGGATGGCCACCCAGATGCTCCGAACGTAACTGCAAATACACTGACAGAGAACTGGGCCCAGATCAGGCCAACAACCAGAGAACGCCCTCCCCCTCTCCCCTTTATTTCCCCTGCCCCCCTCTCGGGTGTCATAAAAGGATCGGCCCAACATCGAGACTCCCGTCAACACCTCGAGATACCTCCCAAGCAGCACTACACAGACTACTCCACCTCAATGATGCACACAAGGTCACACTTACAGGTTGGGACAGAACAGGGGAACCACGGTGACCGCACACCGACGGGGATTCCATAAGGCAGGCACGACGCACGAGCCCTAAGCAGCGGGCAGAAACACCAGACGTGTACACATAACATATCACATACACTTAAGCAACATATCACATTTAAAGTAGAAGCCTTATGAAATCACACCACATAGTGACCCCGACACCACAAACGTACCAACTTATTCAGTGACAGTCAACCGGTCCTTAAAGAGGACACTTGAGCTAAGCTTCCCGAACAGACTCACGAATGCCACTGTATGACTTTTCCTACCAGACCAGAAAGTGTCTGAAATACTTTCATCTGATTCTGTTACTGTCTTCATATTCTATATGAGCTTTTACATATCCAATAGTCCTGATCGGCTGACACTCTCTCACTCCTGGCACCATAAACACTAGAGTGAGCTGTGTGTTATGTTGTTTGGAGTGTTCTTTTAATTTCAGTCATGAATGAAGATGCTTGTGTCAAATTAAAAACTATAATGCTGAGGCTTCTCTTGCCAAGTGTTTATTTCTGTAAAACATTTTATTGAATCAATTTAATCGAACCTGGGGGTGGGGCCTGACTGCCATGAGGGAAAGTCATATCCAGGACGAGCTCCTCAACTACACTGCAACAAAAAGTGATTCCAAGCTCAATCTAGCTCGTTTTGGGACAAAACTGACCAAACTCTTGGCTCTACCGTGGTAATTGAGGCCTAGTGCCCACTGGATGGGAGAGTGGGTGATCTCCCGAACCAGAGATGCCCAGAGGCTGACAGAACCACACAAGTGCCCTGCTATCCTCCCTTTGAACCAGTGGGGGGGGATTCCGGTCCATCCATAAGAGGCTACCCAGCTTGAGAAGCAGCACGGTGGGACACCATAATCACATCATGACTTGCCATTGCAACGACATTTCTTTAAAGCTGGACAGACTTTTCTCCAATTTCTGGTGACCACTGGAATTCCGGAGGCTCCACTCAGCCCCATTACTACTGGATAATAACTCATCTAGGAGTTCTCCTCTAGAGTCCTTGTCTGCACTAGTGGCGAAGACCTCATCATGGTGGCAGAACAGGCACCGCGTTTCACGCAGACACAAGACCGCATAGAAGCATACACCTAATCAGACTAAAGCAGGAACGCACCGCAGGTCAAGGGTACTAGGGGGAACCCCTAACATGGCTAGAGATTCAACCTATCTGTTCTCATCTTGGCTTCATGACTTACAGTATGCCTCCTTATTGCGTGACTATGCTCTGCCCTTGGGGGGTATGGGTTGAAAGGGGCTGTGAGACTGAGTGTGGCAAATGTGCCTATGCCACAAGCTGCTGGAGGAGCCAGCTAGCTAGCCTCCAGCCCAAAGACTATGGGCCATATACAAAGACCCTGTTCGTGAGTTAAATCTCCTTAGCCGCCATTAGCAGCTTTCTCTGGGTGTCCCTGAGTGGAACCAAAAGCTGGCTTTCTGATGGCTGTTCGCATGAACCAAATCCACGAATTGTCCTCAGCGGCACTTAGGCGCGATCATTATGGAACAAAATTCGGCATGTGGACTTCATGGGTTCCCGGACAACTTAGTTTGCGGTTTTGAACCACTTTGAAATCCACCAGGAGAGCACTTTTTGGAGGGAAGGTGTCTGAGACTAAGGGGGGGAAAAAACGCTACCTAAGAGCCAGCTGGAGCACCACGTATTGCGGCTGCAGGAGCTCCCGATAGTTGACCTGCCATAGCACCAAACGCCCTGGAACTTGTTTGGGCATAGGACAACGTGTGAGGCCGGTCAGAACTTTAACACTGTGGCATTTCCCCTACACTACATGGATCTGAGCGCTATCTGGAGAACTTGGGTGCTCAGATCAGGGCTATTGGGGATGTATTATTTGTGGGGTTATTTATTTTAATGATGTTTTGGGATATTTTTTATTTATTTTTTGTAAATTCTTTATTTTCAGTTTTTTCAATTGTACTTTCAGATAATTTAGAGTACAGAATAAAGAATGTGGGGAGGGTACTCAACATGGGGGTTTACACATAATTATTCATTTTGTAGTACAATAGGGTTTAGGTATAGAGTTTTTGTATATTCATTACATTTGACGATTACCCCTCTGAGTTATGATTTTGGTGGGTCATCTGTTTGTTTCGTCATTTGGGGCATTTGTGATGCCTTTCCTTTGGTATTATTTTGTCCTCATCCAACTGTTATGAGCTTGTGGTCTGTGTTCCCCTTTGGGGTCTATAGGTGTTGTATAGGGTGTTGGAGTGTGTGGGTGTCTGGTGGTGTTTAGGTCATTTGGTGTCTTTGGGTGTGCCATGTTTGGCTTTTGGTAGTGTAGAAGGTGTGGGTTGTGTTGAGGTTTGTGGTAGGTCTTAGGTCTTTCGGGGCTTAATCCCAGGTCCTTATTGTCAGTCTTTAATATTTAGGTATTCATGGTGTGGGTGTTGTGAGTGTCGATGGTGTGTCTAGTGCAGTGATTTAGGTTTTCATTTGGTGTCTTGTGGGTTAATTGTTCAGAGTACGTGGTAAAGGTTTGTAGGAGTGTTTTGGGGTATTTTTATGTTTGTTTGCCTCTGCTCCTGGGAGATAATTGGCTTACTGGTCTTTAACAGAATTATCTCCCAGGCACAGAGATCTTTGGAAGGGGCTTGCATTGTATTGTGTGGAGACCCCCTGCTCGTGGTTGTGTGTATAAGCAGGCAAATTGGCCTTAATAAACCCTTCAGAGACACCCCAGCAAAGCTGCGCTGGTTAGGGCCTGAAGCACTCCTGTGTCCCAGATGAGAGCTAAAAAGCGAGCTTGATAGAGGTACCCAGTCAGGATGCCATGCGGTCTATTACACGAAGAAGTTCTTTGCCACTCTCTTCTTTCCCTACATAACCAATGTGGTAAAGCTTCTTGATCTTTTAACTAGCTGCCTACATGTGCTCATCCTAATTTGTTAATTGTCATCTTTACATGTTTCTGTCTTGATGAGCAGTCTTTACAAGTCCTCGTTTGTCACATCATTTAGCTAATATGGGGCCTCCCTATAGAATCATTATGTTGTTCCTACTATAGTTAGTTATAGTTTATCTTGTTTATTACTAACAAAAGTGCAGTGCTTTGACATTTTCAGTTACATTTTTACCTGTTGTCTGTAGATATGCAAAAATGTCTGAGAGCTATGAATGCCTAACTATGCACAACTATAATAAAGAATGACAAATAATCAAACCTGTGCAAATACACAAAAGTTGCACAAACTTTCATACACAACTATGAAACCACTTAAAACAGTTGGCTTTTGTCTTGCACAAATAAAATCTCAAACTTAGCTGTAGTTACACTGTGGCTATTTTAACTTAAACTTTACAACTATTATTTTTATCTTTCACTTAACAAGTCAGTATTTTAGTGTATAAACCACGATGAGATGATCGCAGAACTTTGGCCAACTTACCTATAATTACAATCCCAAAGTGATTTTAAAGCTGAATGTTTTATCCTGACTTAAGTAATAATTCCCTTTCTGTGAGGGCTGTGGTACCTCCTATAGCCGTAACCTAATTTTCAAGTTTTCAGATGAATGAAATTGTCACTTGAATTTTTCTTGTGAACATCTGACAGGATCAGTCATTCTTAACAGAGTTCTGACAGATTCAAGTTTGGCAGTTTTTTTTTGTTTGAATCGCAGATGTTTTTTGAATTGTGAAGTTTCCTTTGATGTACATAATGCTTTAATTAACTTGGCATAAGTGCAGTTATTTATAAGAACACCTTTAGAGAGGAAAAAAACAATTTTATTTATGAAGCCATACAGTAACTATGCATACATATACTTTATTGAATAGTTAAAAGGACATGTATCCAGTCTTACCTACTAAAATTAGAAAAAAATATTTGCATAGTTTAGACAGCTCCTCAGAGCTGTCAATCATGCAGCCAGATGAAGATGTCATAGGCTAGCAGCAATTATTTTACAAATTACTTCAGTTTTAAGGCAGTCACACAGATGTCAGTAGGCTTAGGTTACTGTGTGTGTACCATCACCTTTGCAATCCTGCATAGCTGTGATGTTGCCTAGAGTGGCTCATTTGATGTGACACTTTAAGCATCAAAACTAGTACAGTTTATTGTAGTAGTTATGGTGCATGAAGTCTTGTTTCTATCAAACTGCTTTCACCCTCCAGAACTTTGAATAGATAATGTAAACATTAAACTTTTTTACTACCTGAGCTGAAGGCGAGAGGCTAGGCATTGTGTGCCTCTGTAGCCCCACTTTTGTCAAACCACGCAGATTGACAGGAAATTGGGGATAGGGGACAGAAGCATAACCTGTTCTATTAACTGAAGCCTAATTTTGAGTGACTGCCTCCTTTGGACACTACAAAGATGTTATAGTGCAGAATCCCTATTTTTGATTATTGGTGAAACTGTTCATCATGCTTTTCAAATGCTTAATTATTTTAGACCACTTTTCATATCCATGTATATGTATTACATTATCTGTAATGAAACTGAAGACCAACACATATTCTACAGACTTTAAAGGGACAGTGCAGGCACCAAAACAACCTATGCCCCTTGCATTTTTTATTTTGTTGTATGCTCCTTTGTCCTGGTTTCCCTTCATTCTGTGTTTTATTAGTAAATCAGATTTTTTTATTATTATTATTAAGGTTTTTTACATGAATAATACAGATAGCAAAATGTAACATGCAGGTCATGAAGAAGTTATGGTCAAAGATCAATTAGATAGCAAATATGTTTAAACCAGGAGAAAATGATAGCTACATCAGGCAACCCATCCCATGGAGGCATTAACAAATAACTGCATTGACACTCCACTACCTATCAGACATGAAAGAAACCAAATTAAAGTATGCAATCAACTAGGGTATGTTGATCCAGGAATCGGGAGGAACGTTTTCCCCTGTTTTGTCACTATTAAGGTGCATTAGCATCAAAAATATTTACATATGGTTGAACGGGTGTGCAATTCTAGATATCCGTGATCAACTGGTAAGAACCCAACCATGCAGAGCAAAGCCCAAACTCTCACCAGATCCTCTCTTGTCTCATTGGTGTGTGAAGGATGCAACAATATTGACTTCACTCACCCCCCCACCTAAACCCCCACCCAATCTAAAGAGGCATAATAGGACATCAATAGACTTTGAGTACTCCATGAACCTGAGTTAAGGCATAAGTTACCTCCCTCGTGGTGAACTAATTGAACCTTCTATTCCAGCCACATCTTCCCCCGCACACCTGAGTGCTTTCAAAGCAGGCCATCTATGCGGTTGGATCAAATTCAACGAAAAACAGAACTGAAACTTCTTGGAGGAATCATTCCTCAATAGAATGTAGGATAACAATGAGGAGAAAAATGTATTAAGTAGGTGGGGGAAAGAGGTAGGAAGGAGGTATAAGAATAAGAAAAGTGACCATCCCAAGGCTTGGACCCCACCCCCAACCCCTAGTGGTTCGTTCTGTGTTTTAAGTGTCCTTTATTAATTGTTACTTGAGACTGCTGAATTACTTACCTCACATGTATCTTCTTGACAGGGAATCATGCAGAATGTGCGTACATTACTCACGTTTAGAACAATGTGAGGAAGACCAGGATCAGCTGCTAAATCTCAGTCACTTCCTGCAAATCTCCTGCAGATCTCCTGCAAATGATGGAAGTTCAGATATGAATATCTGTCTTTTTTTTCTTTTACATTTTATGTGCAATTTTTTTTAGCACAGTATCTTCTAGAGAAACGGCTCAAACATGCAAGCCAAGATTCTAACTTTCTCTTGTTACCCCTATTATGGGTCATCATTTCATGCATTCTGTATTTACCATTGACGAATACGAAAGCTGTTTTGTTTGCTTACACTTCAGTCTAATAATGTATATATACTAATTTAAAATGTTTTCTTAGCAGGTTAAAAAAAGAGTGACCTTTAAATGAACATTGTTATTGATTTTATTTCATGTGCAACTTTATGTATTTCTTTACACTAAACATTCTGAACTGTTTGAAAAGAGAGGCACTAGTTCACATGAATATCAGTTTAACATAGATCTTAGGTTCATTTTGTTTATAAAAGTACATTTCTTGACACACATGGTGTTGTGCACTAAAGTGAGCATTCAAAGTGAATGTCAAATTCATGGTTAAATAGCCGAACTGGAAACATTCTCTGTGCTGTTTGGCTATTCAAACTGAATTTGAAATTTATGGTTATGAATTCTCCCTTTAGTGAATAGCCCTGAAAGCTTTATTCTGTTAGCTCTACAGATCTATCATGGTGTTTCAGTTTAGTAGAAAGACTGCTTTCTACAAATGTATATACATTTAATATATGCTTTACATTGTTCTAACAAATGTAAATAAATGTCTATATCTTCTGTTAATTTCAGATCTCCAACTATGGCAGGTGGTTTGTTTGCTGTGAGCAAGAAATATTTTGAATATCTTGGAACATATGACACGGGGATGGAAGTTTGGGGAGGAGAAAATCTAGAACTATCATTTAGGGTATGCACCAGGACAATTTGATATTGGTAGTTAAAATATAATATGCATTAAGGGTTATTGCAAGCACCATGACCACTTCAGTGATATGAAGTGGTTATAGTGCCTGGTGTCTGTGCAGTGTGTAACTTTGAAGTGCTGCACATAGAGGGGTTAACCCCTCTTTTGCTGGATGTGTCGCTCCACCTCCAGTAGCATCATAGGGTTGTCATTTGCCAGCCTGGAACTAGAGTTAATGTCAATACTGTGCAACTTTCATTGCACAGATTGACAGTCATTGGCTGAGAGCAGTCAGCTGACTGATACTCTCAGCCAATAAATGTCAACCTCTGCAGGAGCCGGATGCTTATCACTGGATCACCAGGGAGCATCAGAGCCCAGCGGGCATGGGGTATAGGGGTAAGCAATTACTAAACGGTTTGCCCCATTATCAGGGACCCGGGCCAGTGTGGTCCTGGCATCCTAACTACTACAGTGAACTGCATTGGTTATGATGCTTGGAGTAACACTTTAAATTAATCACACCTCAAACTACTGACAAAGAATTTAAACATCCTAAGAGCAAACATATGTCTGAATTATAACCTAAAAATAAAGATTAAAAAGAGGAAGGAAGTATGTCCCACAAGCATTTATAATGCTTTGTTTCATAGCCTACTAAAGTGATCTGCATAAACAAATAGAACACCCTGAATCTAAAGAGCTATGCTGTATGTACATGTGTGTTAAACCCAGTCAGGGCTTACTCAATCTGAGTCTTTTATCTGCTATTGTAGAAAGTTGCTCTGTGTAAGCCCTGTCCCAGCCCTATTACTTGTCTTGGCTATACAGCTTTGTATCAAGGCATACAGTCCTATCCAGCAATACACAGTTTACATCTCCATATGTCTAAAAGAGCAGCTGTCACTTCCTTATTTGCAGTACAATAATGTATACTATTATTTCCTGTTTAATGCATTGGAGAACTTCCTTGCCGTGTGTTCACTTCAGCAATCTATCATACATTGCCTGGATCTCTATAGCAGTTACTCACTTTCTCTTTCCCTTTTTTAACATCCATTAAAGTGAGGACTGTTATAGACCTCAAATAATTCACTGGGCCACTCTCATTCCTCTGTGCAAATGGTCTGCCATTTTTATCACTATGACCTTCTCAATGTATTCCCACCTTGCAAATGATGTCTGCCGTGCTACCGTTGGTATTTTATTTGATCGATTTTTCATCTTGCATATAGGTTTGGCAATGTGGAGGAAGCCTAGAGATTCATCCTTGTTCCCATGTTGGCCATGTTTTTCCCAAGAAGGCTCCATATGCACGGCCAAACTTCCTGCAGAACACTGCGCGTGCCGCTGAAGTGTGGATGGACAGCTATAAAGAGCATTTTTACAACCGTAACCCACCAGCAAGAAAGGTATAAAATGTATTCAGATACGGCTTTCTGTGATGTTTGAGAACATCTAGCGACTTTTAACATGAAAAAGAGGAATGAATTGTTGGTTCTGCACAAAGATGTGTTAAAATGTCTTTGTAATACATCATAGTTTTACGTATGTGAATTTCCATTGAGTTTAGTTTATTAAGGGGACACCGTAGGCACTGTAGGTTTCCCTTTTGCACCTAGTGCTGCGATGTTTACATTGCCACGCTAAGTCAGCCTCTAGTGGATTTAAATGGATCTTTGGTCTAGTATCTGACGCTCTACATGAGGACACCCAGCATCAAAATTTTCCCCATATGAAAACATTAATTAAATGCTTTCCTATGGGGAGGTCTGATGCTTTTGCCGCGCATGTGCATTAGCGCCTGCGGGATGTCGGAAGGGGCGGGGCGCCGGCTCAGCACCAAGGGACATCAGCTCTGGGATCAGGTAAGATTAATAAAGGGTTTTAGCCCTTTATTTATTGGGGGGTGGGGGGGTGCGAGGAAGGGGGTAGGCAGAGGGTGCCATAGTACCAGGAATACAGCTTTGTATTCCTGGCACTGTAGTATCCCTTTAACAACATGATTTGTTAAATGTATACAGATATGTCATGCTGATCCACATTAGGACTTTAAAGCTAAACGAGTTCTGCCAGATTTCATTGTGTATTTGTCATCCAGTACAGTACAAATAGAACTACTGGGATGTAGGATTCAAGGAGCTACATCTCTGGGTGTTGCTAGTGCTAATTCACCAGAGAAAAACAATCCATGTTTGAACCACCTAGTTTGAAAATTGTCTTTTTATAATAATGGAGAGGACTGGAAATGATTCCCTTGGCTGAGAATATTGCCATCTCTTTATAGTGTTATCTCTAGCAATAACTGTACAGTAATTTGCAGTATGTATATGTACACTGTCTGTTTAATTGCGGCTGCAGTAGGGGAGTATCACTTTATCATTTTAGTTCCACTGTTTACCATTGGAGAGGTGATTTGTTTGATTCCTGTTTTGTGTAAGATATTAAGTTCATTTGAGATGTTATTTGCACAGTTGTGTAATACATTAAGGGTTATTAACTAAAAGATGAAGTAAAGACTTTACTAGGGAATTGCGAATTTTAGTGCAAAATATCTTGAGTTTAGAGAATATTTCCCATGTTCGCTATTTTGACCTGAAGTGTGTCATTCCCTGGTGACCTCCTGAATCTTATTGCATATTTTTATTTTTATTTTTTATTCTTTTATTTTTGGCGTGTCGTTACATTGCACTTTGGCAATTAAGTAGGCATAACATAGTACATACAGTTATACTGTAGAGTACATATATATAACGTGTAATGCGATTCTTACAGTATTATGTTCGTTGTCTCAAGGTTAGGTGTACTTTTGTTGGTGACACATGTTAACAAATAAATGGTGAACAATTAACATGTTAGAAGACTGGAGACCTTTGTAGAGTGCTTTGTCTATTTTGGACACCCTCCACTCGTGGTGGGTGGCATCAATTCGTGGTCTCTGTTTCTCCCAATATCACATAAGAAAAGGAGTAACGGATAGAGAAGAAAAAAGAGGAGAGGGGTATGGGGGGGCCCCTCAGGCGGAGATCTGAGTTTCGTCTGGATTACGCTCGGGTTTGGTTAGTGCTGGCGGTGCCCCATTTCCTGATCTTACCTCAGTTCTCTCTATCACTGGCCTTCCAGAGTTCCCAGACCTTTTCATATGCTTTCAAGGTGCCTCTCACCAATGCCGTGAGGTGGTCCATGACATGGATATCCCTTATTTTATGTATTACCATATTGATCTGGGCCTGGTGAGTCTAGCTGCTAAGGTGATTTTACGTATGAGTTTTTGGTCCCTTCCTGACCATTCATCAAGTGGTCTGGATAGCAGACACACCCATGGATCTATGCCCACCCTTCTCTGGAACACTTTGTCTAATAGGCTCCCTACTTCTCTCCAAAAGGCTTGTGCTTTCGGGCAGTCCCACCACATGTGCTTATCTTCCCTTTTTGTCCATAGCCCCTCGAGCACAGATCGTCTGGGGTTTTGCGCATATGATATAACTTCACTGGGGTGGTATACCATCTGAACATGGTTTTGTATGCCTGCTCCTGTTGTGTAACACATATTGAGGTGGCCTTATTTGCATCCCAGATGTCTCTCCAGTCTGTGTCCTCCAAGACCTCTCCCTGATCTGATTCCTATTGAGTCGTGTAATGTAGGTCCCCCCAGTCGGTGTTATTGGAGCTAAGGTGTGCGTAAAGATTCGTGATGAGTCCCTTCGGGGGTTTTTCCTTGAGACACATTTTCTCAAAGCCCGTTGGTTTAGTTTGTGCTGCAGTTTTTGCTGGATGGTGTTGTGCGAAATCCCTGATCTGGATGTATCGAAAGAAATCTGAGGGTGTTAGCCTGGTCCTTTCTGCCAGGGTTTCGAATGATAGTATCTGGTCGCCCTCGTACAGGTGGATCGCTCTGTGTAGGCCCGATGGTGGGAATGCCCTGTTTCTCAAGACTGGCATCAGTGGGGAGGGTGAGGTTGTCAGTTTATATTTTAAAGCTGTGGCGTCCCAGACCCGTAGGGAGTTTAAGATTGTGGGGCATTGGGTGTCTCTAGTAGACAGCCACTAGAGGCAGTCTTAACCCTGCAATATAAATATTGCAGGGCTAAATGGGACAGGTACACTGCACCCAGACCACTCCAGTAAGGTGTCTACAGTGTCCCTTTAATTTTTCTACACCTCTAAAATATATATGTATTAAAGGAGCACTACAGTTTGCTCAAGTGCTTTGTGTGTCTGGAATCTGTAACATTTTTGGGACGGTTTATAAATGGGGGGCAGAAAAAAATTCCCTGGCTCTCATTTAGAGAACCGTGGAGGTTTACCTCTGCTTCAATTTGTTTAGAGCTAATGGAGGGGTGCTGGGCTCGAGTGCACCTGCCATCCTTCTTTCTTATTTACTAAATAGTTTAAAACAATTCCCTAGAGTGTTACTATAAATATATGGGCTATGTAAACATAGTATTAAAAAGTGACCTTTTTCATGTGTTGATTTCAAATTGATGAAGTTAAGAATATAAATGAATCCCTGCAAATTTACCAGTTTGCCTTCTCTCAAGTAGGCTATCACATTTGTGCAAGTCACTTGACTATCACCAGCTGATGACTGACAGTCACAACGTATGTGGAATTAACTCGCAAAGATGAGCAGCAGCAGCATCAAGTGGGATGGCAATGGAATGATCTCTTGCTGCTTGCTTTTAATGGCACGGACAGTATTTCAGAGCAGGCATACTGTTATGTACAGTGTTCCTTTAAACGTACCTGTAAATCCAGTGATGGAAGAGAATCCTCTTCTAAACCTAATCAGCCTTCTTTGAAGTCATCACTCCTTATGACTTTTTGGCATATCAGATGGACATATGGAGGGTATACATTATATTTGCCTACCCAGATTTCTCTACCCAGCAAGCAGAATGCAGCTTGTGTGTATATGGATTCCCAAATTAAAACTATAGAGTTAATATTTGAAGCTTTATGTTTGCAGCAGATAATTCAGAGTAACAGAGTAGTTTGGAACAATGCGAAAGCTCTTGTATACTAAGGTCACTCTCCAACTTCATAATTAGCCTAAGTAAGCCATGGATCAGTGCTGGATTAATTTCCAAAGTCTTTACTGAGAAATGTAAATAGATAAATAGGCTGCTTGCTGCACTTGTCCCCAGGGGATGTTTATAAATTAAAAGAAATGAGAAACTGAAGATTTCACTTTATGATGTCTTGAGACATTATCTGCCCAGATATTTCTGCAGTTTGAGCATGCATTTAGTGTTTATGTCGTGCCGTAAGAGCCTGTGACAACAAAGGCTAAGGGTAACTCAGTCTCCCTAAAATTCTTTGGTCCATTTACCTTTTCAGCATCTCTGAATTGATAATAGAGGTTCCTTGTCAGTTTGGCAGATCTAAAAGGATCAGCAGTATTTCCGTTCTGACAGAATCATTCTATAAAGCTGTGCTCCAATGCATTGCATAGTGTGATCTTGTTGTGTATGCTCATGCCATTGTGATGTATTCAGCTAAGGGAGTGGACTGGTTTTGGAAAGCGTACATTGTTTGTCAAGTAACTAAATACTACGTGCATAGCAACTTAAAGGGACACTGTGAGCACCAAAACTGCACATGTAATGCATTTCATTTACAGCATGTGTTTATCTTAGACTCCATGTTTTTTGCCATATGTATTATATTCAATTCGTTTTGGATTATCTTAACATAAGTGTCATAAGTGTGTTATATTTTAATACAGGAAAAATATGGGGACATTTCTGAACGGATCATTCTTCGAGACAGACTACATTGCAAAAGTTTTGACTGGTACTTGAAAAATGTTTTTCCAGACTTGCATGTGCCAGAAGATCGACCCGGCTGGCATGGGGCTGTAAGTATTCATTGGTTGTGGGATTCTGTCCAAGGGCATTTAACCAGCAAGTATCCTTGTTAAATTTGAAGGACAGTGACTCGCTCTTGGGTTTTATAGGATTCTTTATTAGGATATAGTGGAACAAATAAACGTCTGTTTTCTGCCTGCTTAAAAGTAGTCAGTCTACATCAGGTACACAGCATGTTCATGTGTGTTCACTATTATGGCAAGTTTACCATCTGGTTGGAGATAAAAGGGACAAATCAATCTGTATTTATATAGCAAATAACTATACCAAGCTCTGCCAAATCCCCACTTGTCATTGTGATGAGAAACCTTGGCACCACAAATGTTTCTGGATGTTATTTCCCATGATGATTAGTCAGGAGTCAGAAACACCTGTGGGGCAAAAGTTTGGCCATCCCTGCATTTTGGTTCTCTAAATCGTTTTCAGAAAAGCAAGCACCGTGGGCAAATGCAAAATGCAGATCCATGTTTTTATGGATCACATTTTTTAGACTTGTATAGACTAAGATGCTTCTCTTTTGTGCTTTTATATTTTTAACAAACCGCCTAGGGGCCTTTTACATTGTTTGGGGACAGATGATGATCACTTTAGCACATTAGCACTTATTAAAGAAAATACACATTTTAATTACGTTTAATCACTCTTAAATACAATCTGATGACAGTCTTGCTTTAATGTTTTTATTATTTTGTACAAATTCCTTATACTTATTTTAAACTGGCTTCAAACTATTCATCCAGTAACACACCAACCATTGTAAGATACCAAATACAGAGTAAACACCTAAGATAATTTTTTAATCTAAAAACAAATGTGGTTATTTGTCAAACTGGGAACTGTGCACAATTGTTAAATGAATTGCAAATTTTATTCCAAAATAGCTGAGCCAGAAGAATGTGGAGAATTCTTGTATTTCAGCTATTTTAGCTTAATTTTGCAATTTTCTTTTCTGTTCTCAAAAATGCCTGACTTTAATTGTATTGATCTTCCTTTTAGATCCGTAGTGAAGGCATATCATCTGAGTGTCTAGATTACAATGCCCCGGATCATAACCCTACTGGTGCTCACCTGTCTCTTTTTGGATGCCATGGTCAAGGTGGTAATCAGGTAACAAATAGCATTGTTTAATAAACAGTCCAAACCAGTTTAATTATATTATAATGAAGGGTTTGTCTGTTCATCATCCGTTCTGTGTCATGGAAACTGTTGCATTCCACTGGATATAAATAAACAAAATCTCAGTTGTATTTAATATATAGTTACCATTTGGCATGATAGACCCCTAGAAAGATTTAGTTCAGGAATAAAATGGAATAATGTTCTTATTCCCAGCGCTATGTAGCTACACAATTTTGATAATGAAAACCTTAATCCACTGTATCCCATGTGTCAGATAATCTACCATAGAGGAAGGTGACCTTTTAGCAACCCATGCTATAGTTTAACGAACAGCAAGGTTTCGATGAGGGAGAATCAAGAATTAATTGGAATTAGGGGCACACTCAGAACATGCATTTCTAAATACTGGTGCTGTCGTAAATCCCAACATTTTACAAGACTACTTAACATCACCTATCTTAGCAAACAAATTTAGGGGTTAATTTACATTATATGGCCAAATTGCGTTAAACTCGCCACTACATCACAGTACCCCAATATTGGTGAGTCCTACGCTAATTTTAAAATGGGAGATAAACATGCTACCTGCAATACTTACTGGTAAAACTGCTGTCAGAGACCCATTGCTTTCCTGTGGTTCCCTCCAGAGGGCATTTATGAATATATAGGTCTACAAGAATATGGGAATATCTGCTAAACCAACAAAAAGCAAAACAACATAGTGTATCACTGTGTGGATAAAGTGCCAAATAGTACAATCTCAATTGGTCACTCACAATTTCAATGAAGGAGAAAGGTCTTGGATATAATTCCCCTCAAAGGGTTTTGTCTTCTAGATGTTTTCCGATCATCATGGATTGGTTGGAGGTCATATACTCAAAAGAGAAATAAAATTGTAGTGCAAGTAGAGCGAATTATAAAAACAAATGTATTAACTTACATATAGGTTAAAATTGATAGATGTAATGAATCAGTCACGACTATGCATCCTATCTGTTTTGTCTGTGCTAGGGACATCCACAGAGATTTTACAATTTCAGGTTACAATCCAAAAAGTAAATATAAACCCTCCCTTCACTCCCCAGTCCGTTTATATATCTATATACTGTAATACTAGTGCTTAGGACATCGTGAGTCACATGTTATTAAAAAAACAAATCTAATCCAATGATTTATATACAAAACCATTAGACCATTAACCCCAGCTAATCTGAAAACCTATAGCACCATTACATGGTGGTTTATTCACTAAATAGTTGCAGTGAGTTGATAGCAAATGCTCAACGTTTAAGCAGACACGGTTTTCTTCCTGTGCAGTACAGTGTGTTTGTGTAATTGTGTTGTATGCTCCTTTTTATTTTCCAGTTCTTTGAGTATACAGAAAACAAAGAAATTCGGTTTAATTCTGTTACTGAACTCTGTGCTGAAGTGCCTGAACGTCAGACCTACATTGGAATGAAACATTGTCCGAAAGATGGTACTATTATTGCCACAAACTTGGTTTGGGAGTTTAGACAAGTGAGTATAAAGAGAGTATAATCATTTTGCTATAATTGTCATTGTCGCCGACCTATACAATTACAATTATTTATATAGTGCCAACATATTTTGCAGCGCTGTGAAATATGTAAACAAGATAAACATTTATTTCTAACAAAACTTATATGGCATACAGGAGCAGTAGGTAATTGCCCAAACGAGCTGACATTCTATACTGCTATTATATTCAGTTTCATCCTTCTCCCAAAACAGAATCAATACACCAGCAACCCCCACATTGTACTGTGTCATTCTAATGTATTTCTCTGCTAGAACATTTGAGCTTAAAGGACCACTATAGTGCCAGGAAAACATACTCGTTTTCCTGGCACTATAGTGCCCTGAGGGTGCCCCCACCCTCAGGGTCCCCCTCCCGCCCGGCTCTGGAAAGGGGAAAGGGGTTAAAACTTACCTTTTTCCAGCGCTGGGCGGAGAGCTCTCCTCCTTCTCTCCTCCTCCGATCCTCATCCTGGGCTGAATGCTCACGCGCGCCAAGAGCTGCGCGCGCATTCAGCCGGTCACATAGGAAAGCAGTCATAATGCTTTCCTATGGACGCTTGCGTGCTCTCACTGTGAAAATCACAGTGAGAAGCACGCAAGCGCCTCTAGTGGCTGTCAATGAGACAGTCACTAGAGGATTAGGGGGAAGGCTTAACCCATTCATAAACATAGCAGTTTCTCTGAAACTGCTATGTTTATAAAAAAAATGGGTTAACCCTAGAAGGACCTGGCACCCAGACCACTTCATTAAGCTGAAGTGGTCTGGGTGCCTAGAGTGGTCCTTTAATTGGATTTCTTTAATGAATTAAGTGCACAGAAAAAGACTACTACTTGTGACCTTGGGGGGTGACCTGTGGGGGCAAAACAAATCTGATGGCCAGGGTTCAACCATTACTAGCCAAATATTGTCATTAATAATCATCACTGATAACAGCAAGCATTATGAATCCCATTCTACAATGGGATGATATCCAGGAAATGGATTTGCCACACAGTAATGTGTTAATGTCCTTTGTTACTTAATTACATAATTGAAGGTGCAAAACAATGGAGGGCCTACAACTCAGGGTGAAAATAAAGAGGACAAATAAACAACGTACTCATTTGGGACCGTGCTGCACTCATTTATAAGTGTTACCATTCTTAATTAGTCATATTTACGAATATGTTATTAGCCTTGCATACAAACATACCTAAAAATGCCACTCACCCACGCACACCAGACTAGTCGTATTCTTTCATACACATGTCACAAATAACACACACTTTTATATAATTAAAAAAAAATAATAATGACTACATTTTTCATGGCTCTGTGATCATTTGTTTCTGTGCTTTGTAGGATGGGACAATCTTCCACCCACATTCAGGGTTCTGCGTTACATCATACCGTACACCCGAAGGTCGTGGAGATGTACATATGGCGCCGTGTCAACCATCGGACAAAAATCAGTTTTGGAAGTTTGAGAGGTAGAAAAAGAAGCCCACCCAATTATATGGACTTTTAAAAACAGATTGCCAATGTTTGCAGCTGAACACAAATATAATAATTACACAACAAATACCCTTTTGTTTACTTTAATTGTGTCTGCCTGATTGTATGGTAACAGAACTCTTTGCCACTGTGTCGTAACTGTCCAAATTTTCTGAAGTGCCTTGTACCCAATGAAGACTGTCATATGCTGGGTTTGCATTTTGATACTTTATATACCAGTATGTGTTGAATGGTGCTCCTTACAATTTGATACTGGCCCTTAGCACTTTTTGGTGTGGCTTGCATGAAACAGAAGCCTACTGTTTAGAGAAATTTTGATTCTTTAAAAAAAATATTTGGATGAAAATGTGTGCTTGCAGCATCTAGAGTTTTATGCTATTTTATATAGTCTGGAATGTGTCTGTTTATAATGTAATGTTTTATTGTCAAGCTTTTCCTCATTGCAAAGGCTTTCCTATTTGTCAATGGCATCTAAACTAGACCCCAACCCTGGAGTCTGTTTGTGAAACTCAGGCATTTGGTTTCAATGCTGCAAATGAAATCGACCAAATAAATGGGGCTGCAGCTGTAAGAGTAATAATTGCTATAATTGTTCTAAAAATACACAGTTAATGGAATGGAAATAATTCTAAAAAGAGAGCAAATCTCACTGCTAGAGAGAAAATGTACTGTGCAAATACTAACATGATGATCTAAACCCTGCCTAATTAGGGCCAAATCTACCTGCTACATGTCACTTTGATCTGGGCCTCCATTTATCCATCCTGTGTACTGCAGTCATTTACTTGCATTCCATTTCTAAATATAAGCTCATTTGTAGAAGTTCAAATTGTGCATGTGTAAAGATTATGGAACAGGAATTGCCAAAGGTGGTGACCAGCCGAGCATCATATGAGTTGAACTTAGGTGTTGATCCATCTTTTGTCCACCCATGTTATATAATATGATTTTATTTACTATTAGGTAGTATTTATAGTGCATCAGGAAGGCTACAATTATTCCCATGCCAATCTTGTTTCCAATAATAATTACATTTCTAATTATGTTAAGTAATGGAAATACCAAATGATTGGTATGAAAGACTTCTTGCATCATCAGAATGCATGATAGACAAACCCCTAACTTTTACATTAATATTTAGTTTTCTTTCAGTGTATTGTTCCTTTTAAAACCTATTTGTTATATATTTTCAACTGTCACTTTCCAGGATTTTTAATAGTGAGGTGTATAACAAGAAAGTTAAATATAGAAATTCATATCTCTTAATCCTGAAATAGGGCATCACCACCATCGCTCCCTGCCAATCACTGTTATGTTCTGTCCTTTGCACCTGGCACTCAACAAAGAGAGAACATGAGAAATTAAACATTGTTTCTATGTCTCCTCCTAATTTGCAATGTGTGCCTTGACTGTGCCTGAACTAAACCGGATTGTGATGTCATTAGCTAGATCTTTGAAATACATTTACAGGAAAAAGAGCATCACATATAAAAAGAAAGAAATATGTATTTTTCAATTATGTAATTTCCAAAGTGACAGTTTCTGTTTTAAAAATAACCAGATACATATTTGTTAATAAGTTAATTGTTTGTGGAGGTTGATTTATAAAAGCACTTGAAAGTTTCCATAGTCCGTCCATCTATAAAGATAGACTCTTAAAGTTGTTTGTGGCTCATTGCAGGATTATGCCAGTACCAATTTGTCTAACCTTAGAATTCCTGGCCATCCTTGCCAGACACCCATTTCCTGCACCTGAAGCTCCTATTGTAAAAATATATCTACTGACATTATGCCAAAATTGACTGTCTACCAGCGTAAGATTATGTCTTCTAAATCTATTTCAACAACGTTACGCTCTTGTACTTTATTAAATCCCTTTAGACTTTATATTATGTCAGACCTATCCCTTCTCTACCCACCAAATACATTGTTAACATTTTCGACCTGTGCTAATTTATTATGCAGGCCTTGCACTAATCTAATATTTCTTTTATGATTTGTTTTCTAATGTATTCATGTCTTTCTTAATATAAGGTCTCCAGAAAGGTAACAATATTGTAAATGTAGTGTTATAATTGAATCAGTGCAGACATTTTTGCTGATGCACAGACATTTAACTTAACTCCTTTGGTCCCCCAACATTCCCATAATGTTTTTATTGTTGTTTTTGTTTTTTACCATATAATTGTTTGATACCACGCTTGTTCGCTTGCACACTGCACTGAGTTGCACAAATCATCTGGATACCCACTGACTTCATCGTCACATTTCTGTCTTTTGTTCGAATGTGCACAAGCAGAAGTATGAGACCATGATACAAAAATAACACTCCTGTTACATGGTTTGGTTTTTTAGTCATATACTCTTAATTTAAAAAAAAAAAAAATCTATATATAAAAAATGATCAGGGTGCACTCACAGGACTTTATCGTGAAGCTTTTTAATGTAGTGAAAAAAATACAATTACATCTGAAAAATAAATCTTTTTTTTTTTCAGATGTAATTGTATTTTTTTCACTACATTAAAAAGCTTCACAATAAAGTCAGTGCACCCGGATCATTTTTTTTAAAAATTTATTTAAATATCTATGCGGGCAGCACCCAGGCAAGTTATCCTGTATATATTTTTCCAAGGAATGAGAGTGCCAAGCTATTGGATAATTAATATATATCTTTTTTAATTTAACACGCCCCAATGAATACATCAATGCATTTAGTTATGCATGTTGTCACTGGGAGTATATTTAAAAAGAGTTTGCAAAAGCTCGGTTCTTATGACTGCAGTCTTTGCAAGCCCTCCACTTTTTCCCTGGAAGAGAATGTTAGTCTCTTTACAGGGAAATAACCAATCATGGAGAAGCCACTGAATCTGTGACCTCCTGGCATGCATGTTTACTCCCACACACTGCAACCTTGATTGGGAAGGACGCTTGTCTAAGAAAAGCTAGGAGGAAATGCGCGCTGTACTCGAAGGGAACTAACGGAAGGAGGAAGTAAATTTATTTATAAAAGTGCCAATTTCTCATGCAAAGTGGCACTTGTATAATGTGCAATTAATATGGGATATCCCATGCACAGAAAGCAAACTGAAGCACTTTCTGTGCGTGGAGTGGTCCTTTAATAATATAATAATAATAATAATAATAATGGGGAAAAAAAGCTATGAAAGAAGTGACCGTCTCCTCTGTAAGGTACAAACTAGTAATATGAAGATATTTCCCTTCCTAACATGATTGGTGTTTTAAAATCTGTTTAATGACTGTATGACTGATTTTAGTGCTGATAAAGAATGTTAATCCATAGAATAAGAGTTAAATGATGGGGGAAAAAAATTCAATAGGTTTTAAGAATTGGCTGCTGGTAGCTATACAGCACAAATAGTGAAGGCAGGTACCACAGTTATGTGCCTAATTGAAATTGAATCCATTACATGCAAATTAAAGGAACACTATAGCGTTAGGAATACAAAACTGTATTCCTAATGTTCTAGTATCCTGCCTCTGCTCCTCCTGTCCGGTATTGAAAGGGTTAAAAAAAAAACTCTTTCACTTACCTGTTTCCAGCTCCTCCTCCAGTGACATCACACCCATGCGGGCACATTAGAATTTCCCCATAGGAAATTTTGAATTTGAAGACGCTGTGAGAATAAGAATGTCCAATTTCGTTTCACTGAGTTAAACTCTGTGAGAAATGATGCAGGAAGAGCCAGTAGTGGTGCTCTGGACGACAGTTTGTAGGAAAGTGCACTGATTTACATTGCAAGGTTAAGGTGACGGGGACACTGCACTCAGACCATTTCAATGATATAAAGTGGTCTGGGTGCCTATAGAGTCCCTTCCAGTTGCATCTTTCGGTCACATAATAGGGACAATATTATGAAAATCTTTTATTGTTCTACTTAACTTTCATTTTAATTTTTTGTCAGATAAATTAAATAATAGATAAATATAGATTGCTAATTTTATTTGGATTTTTTTTCATACTTCCTTTACAGATTTAACTTCTTTGATTTAAGGTTTCTGTTAAAAAATAAATAAATAAAAAATAAATGTACCCAAAAGCACTGACTTGAATACAGCTCTGTAGTATGTATTTTCCATAGGTGTCCATTTTAATGGGGACATATTGCTCCTTTAGTTTAGATATTTTATCTTTGAGCTGTTATTGGGCATAAGGTGCTGCATTATTCCATGGCTCTGCAATATGAGGATATAAACACAACAAATAAATTACATATAAGTTAAGGGAACAGAAACAAAGGGATTAAGATGGGTGTGCTTAAAACAAGTTTACAATCTGGTTATTTATTCTTATATGACTGCATTGTTGCAAGTGACTAAAAGATTCTAAGAAACATAATTCCTAACACTGATGCAGAGGGTGCCAGTGAGAGGGCTTAAAGGAGGGTGGCCAGTAACGTGAATTGCATCACTAGTGCCGCCCAAAGGGGGGGGACTTGCTTAGAATGTGGTCAGGTCCACCCAAATTATTAGCAGGTTAGCCTAGCATGACGCAAGCTAGTCTGCCTGTCAACCAGGCACATTGGCCAACTGAGGGCAGCTCACGCAGGAATCTGAATTTCAAGGACAAAGCTAACCTGGAAGCATAGCTAGTTGTAAATTTTAAATTCCATTTGAATTCACTAGAATTCCCAGCAATTCTCCCTTTTTAGTAATTACCCTAACATACAATCACTTTTTATGATAGTGTCCCTATTTATTTAGGGTAATATATAACTGTGTATTTTTAAATTCTGTATCAATAATGCAATTTAAATATGTTTTATTTCATTTATCATTAGCTTGGAGATTCTTATATTGACTTCGGTTTTTTGTATGTGGATATTTCTTTAGAAATATTTGATTTGCACCATTTTGTATGCAACACCTGTGTCAAATGTTGGACTTTTCTCTATGCAAGTAATATGCATATGTATAGATATATATTGTGCATGGGTTTCTGGAAAATCTGATGCAAAACGTTTCTACAGTCAGATGTTTTTGGGGTTGTATCTTTTGTTTTTAGGTCATTTTCCTATTTGTTTCCTAGGGGGTTGATGATAGTAAAATCTATTGGGTTTAAACTACTGATCGTTATTTTAATTAAAATTGTTACTACATACATTGAAAATGTAATTTAAATTTGTTATACATTAGAAAAATGAGCACTGGCGAATAAAATATGCTTGTTTTTTTTCAATGAGTTGTATTGTCATATTTTAAGACTAATACAAGTTAACATGTTCATTTAGCATGCAAAAAATTGTATAAAATAATAATTGTAGTAATTTCCAATTGTGTCACAAAAAGAAAAAAAATCCATATTGACTCCATAATGACAATCAGATTTCTTCTTGGATCAACAACCTGTTCACGTAAATATCAATTATATATTTGATTATTCTGTTTATGCAAAAAACAAACATCCAAACATTTATAAAACCTATATCTATAGAATTTCATAAAACAACCTCTTTAGGAGAGAATTCTACATCTTTACTGTTCTCATTGTAACCAACCCTTTCCTTTGCTGTAAGCAAAAACACTTTTCTTCCGGTCTCAATGGGTGACCTATTACTGCAAAAGAGCACGTTAGTGCATAGTGATTTGTACTGACCCTGTATGTATTTGTATAGTGCTATCATATCCCCTTTTTTCTAGCGAAAACAAATGCAGTTTTACTAGCCTTTCTTCATAACTAATATTTTCAATCCCACTTACTAATTTTGTAGTTTGCCTCTGCATGTTTTCTAGTACTGCAATATCCTTCTTTAAAACTGGTGCCCAAATTGCACCACATATTCAAGTTGGGGTTTTACCATTATTTTTTTTTTTTAAATATACTTTAATTTTTGTTGTGCAGAACAGGTACATATATGCCCATAGTGCAACAACAGCAAATACAGGCTGATCAAATCAGACAATAGTATGACTTGAAATAAAACTGCACACATTTTAAAATAAACCCGCTGAAGCAAAACATGCCAGTTGATGAATGAATATAAGTAGATCAAACATGACATTGTGATGATTATAATAGAAGATAATAGTTTCAAGATGAGTAAAACAGTGCTGGGGTTAAAACAAAAATAAACTGATGGTATATAACCATGTTAAACTTTGTGCACTGAAATTATGTCAAACAATGGATTGGATTATCACAAGTGTAGTCCGCTACAGAAGTGGGATGCAAAGTATATATGAGCTGCATGTTAAGCATGCCTGAGAGCTAGGAGCAGGCGTGGTAATATCACATCTGGCACTGTTAATAGCGTACAACAAGAAATACTTTGCACTGTGTGGTATCCCTAACAAAGGGGGCAGCAGGGGGATGATTTCTCACCGATTAGTAGTACTCGTTAGAGAGTATAAATTCAAGCACAAGTGATAACTCAGGAAACCACTATATAAGGTAGCTGAACACAAAATAAATGCAGAATGGAGACCCTGCCATGTGAGCGAAAACAAACACAAAGAAAAGGATAATATTAACGGTATCATAAACAATATCTGTAGATTGGCAACAAGCACAGCGTAGGCCAAACAGGGCCATCTCCAAATCTCCCTTTAGTCCAGTATCCGGACTGTTCCCTGTTGTGAGCCTCCCGGAGCTGTGTGTCGACCTCTCTGCTGCTTGAATCTGTGGTGTGGCAGGGGCAGATGGCATGCTGGATGGTAAGGTGATGGACAGGTAGGACTGCAGGTTGCCAACCCCTGCTGTAGACTGATGTCTGTGCTCCATGTTTACTGAGCAATTAGAGGTATGCTTGACAAACGTTCAACACTTCAATGAACTCTCTTTAGGTTTGTCACAAAATACCATTATTTGTAACCTAGGCTCTAAACTTGAGGTTATTTGGTCTCAATTCTACTTGGTTTTGTCCCCCATCACCCATGTATTTAACTAATTGTTTCTTTGATTTTATAACCCATTTACAATGTTCATTTAATTAGCTTTTATTATACATAGAGAAACATTCATTTATTAGTTGGCATGTGAACATATATCAGAAATTACAGAAAAATGGGGGGTGCAATGGTAGACACCAACACACAATGAGTTATACTTAATCGCAATAAATGATAAACATCTTGATTAATCTGTAGAACATAAATGCTAACATAGCATTACACTGTTTTAAAATAAATAGCAATCACAGAGGTAATTAGAAGCTACCATCATTATTAGTAAAAAGAAAAAAATATCAACAAGATTATTATGCGACTAACAATGCCAGAAAGAGACCAACATTTAATAATAAAAATAAACCTAGGAGACCAAGTTCTGGATGAAATTCTGGTACAAATTACAAAGAGTAATTGTAGAGAAACTCAGAAGGAAACCAATGATCGAAAA